CTACACATACACACACACACACACATCACGTCACACTATTCACAATAATTATTTCAATAACAACGATAAAAAATCGTAAGATATTGAAAATCGCAAACAAAAGCACAATGGGAATTCGTTCTATGAGACACAGTCGATGTGATCACTCAAGATAAGCGAGTAGAAATAGACATTATAATTCCCAAAAATAACAATAATAATTTCAAATGTATAATAAATTCAATAATAAATTCAAATTCTTTAAGCCTTTTTATTGCTTAGTTTTGTTAGCAACATAATATAATCAGTAGTATAGTATTTACAGCGACGAAGGACAGACGTGTTTACTCTCTGCTCTAATCTCGTACGTTTCTCGATTTAATTTTATTTCTATCGATCATGGATGGTAGAAAAACGTGCAAGAGCTGTGGCAAAGTCGTTGTAAAATCAATTAGCTGCAAAACTTGCGGTATTGCATCTCATCCTGCATGCATCTCCCGCACTGGACACCCCCATTTTAATGGTCAATTTGGGGATTGCTCGGAACTTTCGACATCTCGCGCGTCGCAACGGATGGATATGAACTCCACTCTTCTCGATGCAATGAAAGATTTATTGCATGCTGAGTTCGAAGACTTCCGCAGGGAGATGAGAGAATTGTATTGGGCTGAACTTGATAAATTGAATAATGATATCCAGGGATTGTGCAACAGAGTGGAGCAACTCGAAGGCCTCTTGAATAAGTCGCATCCTCAGGCGTCATCACTTTTGGAGGACGACATCATTGAAGAGCTGGAAAATAGAGGGAGAAGGACAGCAAACCTAATCTTTTACAATATGGATGAAGCTGAGGACGGCTGTAATGACGTTGATCTTGCTAATGAGATTATTTGGAAGATTAATCCAGGGAAAACTCCTCAGATAAATAACATTTTAAGACTAGGCCAAAAGCGCCAAGGTCACTCCAGACCGTTGCGTATTTTTCTTCCTTCAAAACAAGAAGCTTTGTTTATTCTTCGGAATAAATACCGTTATGCTGGCCTATAAAAATCTCACAAGACCAAAGCAGAGGAAACATCTACATGAATTATAATCTCAATTGAAATCACTCATCGATGCGGGCGAAACGAACAACACCATTCGTTACAAGAACGGGGTCCCCAGAATTGTGAACGTTAAACGTGGCTCCGGCACAAAAAACTGACTCGCTTCCCTTTAGTGTATTAACAAAACGTGCGTGGCCTAGATCTATGGGACTTGCGCTGTGCTATTTCCTCGATGACAGATAACTTTGATGTATATATTTTAGTTGAAACATGGCTGAATGACAGCATTGCGGATATGGAATTGGGCTTAGTTGATTATAATGTTTTTCGCATGGATAGATGCTCGGCTAGTAGTGATTATTCACGAGGCGATGATGTGCTGATTGCGGTCCGCAAGTGCTTGTTTAGTCGTGTTTTAAAAACAATGACAACGCGTGTAGAGCAATTGTTTGTTGACATTCGGCTCGGGCATAAACACTTGATTATAGGAGCTGTTTATATACCGCCCTCATCAGAACCCTCACTTTATGAGGCACATTGTCTTTTGGTCGAGGAAGTAAAATCGTCTATGTCTAATGCAGATATTTTATTAATTGGCGATTATAATCTGCCTAATGTGCATTGGTTTAACAATAGTGATAATCGTTCTAATCATTATCATATGACAGAACAGGCGAATACAATATCACATTTTTTAAATGAATTCAATCTTCGCCAATATAATAATATTGTCAACATAAATCATAATATACTCGATCTTGTCTTTTCTAATTTGCGGGATGTCTCGGTTCATCCGGTATCGGAAGCAATATGTACCTGTGATCATTACCATCCTGTCATCACAATATCCTTGCCGATGTCAACGGGGCCGTTGTCCTTTCCATCGCCCTCTGAATGGAGGTTTAACTTCAAGCGTGCTAATTATGAAGAGATAAATAATTACTTGGGAAATATTATGTGGGATAATGAACTAAGTCATCTGGATGTTAATAGCGCGATAGATTTTTTATATAGTCACCTCGATTACGCAATTATTGCTTTTGTTCCAAGATACTTGCCGCGAGGATCGACTTATCCCACCTGGTTTTCTAAAGATTTAATAATTCTTACTAAAGAAAAGAAATCCACTCATTATAAATTTAAAAACATGCAACGCTACTCGGACTATCTTGCTTTCTCTCAGTTAAGAGCCAGATGCAATTCTCTCTCGTTGAAGTGCTGGAGGGCTTATATTCGAAGGTCGGAACATGCAATCTCTAGCAATGTGAAAGTATTTTGGAACTTTATTAGTTCCATGTCTTCGTCTAAATCGTCAGCACCTTATATTTATCATAATGCCGTGTTATTGAAAACGGTACCGAGATTGCCAATTGTTTTGCGAACTTTTTTGAATCCGTGTACTCACTTGGTAATGGGAGCAGTGGTGGGGAGTCGAAGTACAATCATGACTTAAATATATTAAACATCGACGTCACTATTGGTGACATTTTTAATAGCATTAATTCTCTGCATGACGGTTCTGCCCCGGGTACGGATGGCATTCCTCCAGTTTTTCTTAAATTAAATGTAACTTTGTAATGTCGAGAGTACTCTGGTTGATTTTTGAGAAATCTTTGTCGTGCGGTATTTTTCCGAGATTGTGGAAATTGTTCATTGTCACTCTAGTGTTTAAAGGTGGTGATAGGTCTTTAGTCTCCAACTACAGACCAATAAGCAAACAAAACCTGATGCCAAAAATTTTCGAGAACATTGTTGCCGGAAAACTATCGGCGCTGTCAAAAAATGCATTAATCGATGAGCAACACGGCTTTGTGGCTGATCGCTCTACTTTAACCAATCTACTTATTTACCATGACTTTATAATTTCTGCCGTTGAGGAGAGCTCACAAATTGATGCGGTATACACTGACTTTCGGAAAGCTTTTGACAGCGTTGATCACGCCGTATTATTGCGCAAATTGCAGGCATTTGGGATCGGCAGATTATTGTTGAAATAGTTATCGGATTTTGTGACAGATAAATTGCAGGTTGCTAAGTTTAATAATTGCTTTTCTCGGGCCATTCTTGCTTCTTCGGGGGTGCCTCAAGGCTCGCACTTGGGACCGCTTTTATTTAATATATTTATTAATGATATTAAGAATATATTTGAGAACTGCAATTTTCTGTTATACGCAGATGACTTGAAAATTTTCTGCCGTGTTACGATCTCCGACGATGCGCGGCTTCTGCAGTCTGATCTCTACCGACTTGATCATTGGTGTTCTGAGAATGGCTTGCGCTTTAACTTAACTAAATGTCAAGTGATTCACTTCACCCGTAAAAAATATGTAAACAAGCACGTGTATTTTTTAAACGGAGTCTCTCTCGCGTCAACTGACTCCATTTGTGACCTGGGGGTTATCTTTTGCTCGAACCTGTCTTGGGAACTCCATATTCAGACATTGGTGAATCGTGCATGCAGAAAACTAGGCTTCGTCATGCGTTCATGTAAATACCTAAACAGTACCGAGTCGACTATTAGTCGGCTGTCAGTCGGCAAAAGGAGTCTAAAGTCAACTTCAAAGTCAGACTAAATGTCAACTTATTGTCGACTTTTAGTCGACAAATGACCCGAAAATAGTCGACTAAAAGTCAGTATATACAGTCGACTTTAAGTCGACTTTATGGCGACTATAAGCCGACATTGTTTTTGAGGTTATGGCGACTAGATCGACTTTTAGTCGGCAATAAGTCGACTTGTAATCAATTTGAAATCATCTATACATTTACTACCAAATTTTTATTCTCATAATGACATTTATCAAAAACTTAATTTTATATTTTAAATATATAATATACATTATACATTGAAAGTAATAAAACTAAATTTTTGACAAATGTCATTATGAAAATAAAAATTTGGTAGTAAATGTACAAATGTAAGTGGATATAATAAAATAGTGAAAGAGAGAACAAAAGTTATTTGTTTATAATATTTAATGTTATTTAGAAAAAATATAAACGTTTTATGTTACATCTTAATATATATTACATAAAATACATAGTTTCGAAATAAAATTCAACGTAACATCAGGTACATATATACGTATATACATCTAAATTATATACTTTAATTATGAAAAGTAATACATATATGTTTAAAACATGTTTTCTTATTTTAAACATGCTTTTTAACGCAGTTTCAAACATATTGAAAGACATTTTATAAGGCATGAATGCCAATTGTACATAGACCTAGAAGATATGTTCTAAAGACAGACGTTATTTAACAAAAAATTTTGTTTTACTATATATATATATATATATATGAAAAGATTATATATATAATCTTTTTATATATTTTTGCCTTCCATATTATTGGCAGTTTTGCATGACAGAAATTTTTATTAAATATAATAATTACATATGATAAAACATAATAACGCTTTGCAAGCAAATAATGCAGTAAGAATTTTTGAAATACATGAAGATTATATATTCAGTTTTAAATAACAATATTTAATCATTACTACATAAAGATAATTATAAATATAATAGCACTTGTATTTAAATGACTGTTTTTATTACACAAAGTACTTCTCTATTTAATGATTTTTAATAATAATATTTTACAGTATAACTAATATTTCTAATAACATATTACTATTTGCATTCAAAACAGTTTATCCATCGTATGAATTACTTTGTCTCTAGAACATATCTACGTACCGTTTTCTCTAACAATAAATAATATTATTAGTCTCATTATCTCGCATAAATACTTCCACTTATAACAGAGCTTACTTGGATGTACGTCAAAGAGATCTAATTATGTATAAATATATGTTTCTGAGCAATGTTGAATGAGAAAAAATAGAATTTTAAAGACCGAAGAATAAAATATTAGAGAATATTCCTGCTTTGTAGGATATATATAAATAGAATATATATTGTTTTTAAATTATTTTTTTTTAGAAAATAATAGTTATATATGCTTGTTAGAATTATAACAAGCATATATAATTATATTTAAATAAATTGCACATAACAGATTTTTTGGATGTGGAAAGTATACAAGAATTAGGTACTTATTACAATCACAAAATCGTCATACTGGTTATATCTCCTTTCGAGTTAATACAACTGCTAATGTTACACAGTTCTCTTTAAATTATATGTACTTGATATGTCATGTCTAGGAGTCATGAAAAAAGTATTACAGTTATGGATAAGTAGTTATCAAACATCAAAGTGAAAGCAAACTTATAATAGACTTGGAAAAATTAATTGCAATGTACAAAGTAGGTACCGAAGGAGTTTGATCTGAAAATCACGTTCTCTGGATGAATTGAGACGTTGGAAAACAACAGAATTGCGAGAATTTTTACTCTACCTTGGACTCTACCTTACTTTTATTGTTTCCAAGTCCAGTTTCGAAGATTAACTTTGGTCATTGACCAATGCGGACTCTACCCTCTCTCGAGAACAGCCCCAGCACCCATTGATTGAAGCTCGATCAAGAGCGTCAATCAACGCGGACTCTGTTCTCGAACTTTTATTGTTTCCAAGTCCAGTTTCGAAGATTAACTTTGGTCGTTGACCAATGCGGACTCTATCCTCTCTCGAGAACAGCTCCAGCACCCATTGATTGAAGCTCGATCAAGAGCGTCAATCAACGCGGACTCTGTTCTCGAAAGAAGACAGTCCCAGCACCCATTGATCGAAGATTAACCTTGGTCGTCGATCAATGCGGACTCTATCCTCTTTCGAGAACAGTCTCAGCACCCATTGATTGAAGCTTGATCAAGAGCGTCAATCAACGCGGACTCTGTTCTCGAAAGAAGACAGTCCCAGCACGATGGATCGAAGATTAAGTTTTATTCAGTACAAAATATCAATGTTTTATGTTATATATTAATATTATATAAAATTAATAGTTTCCAAAGAAAATGACAAATTTAACATATCAGGTACATACAATATATTTACTTGTTTAAGCCTCTCTTTCTGTCGCCGGATCGTCTCAACCACTCTTGAATACATCCTTCCACTTCAATAATTGTAGTAGTATCCTTTTTCTTCAAAATAATTGCTACAAACATAATAATTGGATCATGTTAAAATACATGTTAACATGACATGAAGTAGTTCTAAAAAAATTCTCATCTGAATTGTATTTAATGTTAAAAAAAAGTTTGTTTAAATACAGTTCAGTGCAACTACAAAGAATGAAGAAAAATGTTAAAATTATATACCAATTATTGTGTCAGCCAGTTTCGATGTTTTGAATGATAATCTTTTTTTTTGGCCTGTCCACGTGTACGCTGCCGCAACTTCATATCCGATAGTTTCCAACATTATATTTTTTACAAGTTTGGCTACGGTATCCCCGCCAAACTGCGCCATTTTTTTCATCTGTAATAAATAAAAACAATATTTTTATATATTTTTATATATTATATAATACATTTATTATTTTATTGCACAATTTCTTCAATTTATTTTTTTTTCTAAATATTAACATTAGCTTACTGTTATCATAGGCTTTAATTTATATAATTACAATTAATTAATGTGACAAGATACTTACAAATTGTCGCCGAACATTAATATCTTCCAATCTGTTATTGAACATTTCTGTTTGTTCAACTGTAGTGAGAGGAAAATTTGGTAACAACGACACATCGTCTTGTTCTATTTCATTCCGTTGTACATTATTTTCATTTTCTAGAAAATGAATGATCCGATTGAGTTTCCGTTCAATTGTCACAAATTTGTCCAAGTAATTTTTGCGGCATTTTTCTATACAACAAAAGAAATATTTAAAAGTAAATAATTAAAAATTAACCTGCAAAAATGCAACTGAAATTTATGTTATTTAATATATTATATTGTGATTTTACATATATCGTTACATATATCAAACTGCGCGCCGAACAAATATTTGGTCTTGATACAGTTATAGGTTGAAAACAAGAAGAATAGTACCAAGAGATTAAATTGATGATTAGATAATAATGATAACAACTATCTAATAAAACCCCTCTTGTTTAAAATATTGCAAGTGAAGAATTTTGTTTCAAAAAATAACACCTCAGTTAAAATCGTGATAATATCGCGATATTGTTCTCATTCTAGTTATAGCTTTTCGAGGATCTCAAATTTATTCGATGTGCAGTTTGATCTTGAAGATGTATATAAAATTGCATAATAAGATATTAGCGCCGAGATCCAGCTATAACCAATTGCCTTTTCTATTTTACTAAGTGTGTAAAATTACTACATTCAATTATTGAATGACATTCATTATTCAATTACTGAATATACAGGGTGTATCAGAGCGACCGTAACAGCAGTTTTTTGAGGAACCTAAGCATTTGAGAGAAAAATGTTTCGTACAAAAATTGTAGGGCTTAAAATAATCTATTTAACGATCGTATCAGTTTGACTTTGAATAGCACCGTCAAGGTCGCATAAAAAATACTTTGAATTTTTTAAATGGAAACCCCCATTTTTTATTGCATATTCTTGTAGCTTACCTCGAGAGCTTTTCAAAACATTATAATAAAATATTTTTCTCCTAAGTACTTTTCGAGTTATGAGACTTGAAATCACTTCTTAATTTTACATAAACCGTAAAATATCTTGTAAAATATTAATTTTTCGATTATTTTACTTTAATATTTTTATGTACACAATAATGAGAGGAATCAATTGGTGTAAAGAAAACATAATTGATTCGAACAAAAAAATGTAATTCGCAATTAATTAAATTTTTTTTCGAAACAATTATGTGTTTTCTTTACACCAATTGATTCCTCTCATTATTTTGTACATAAAAATATTAAAGTAAAATAATCGAAAAATTAATATTTTACAAGATATTTTACGGTTTATGTAAAATTAAGAAGTGATTTCAAATCTCATAACTCGGAAAGTACTTAGGAGAAAAATATTTTATTATAGTGTTTTGAAAAGCTCTCGAGGTAAGCTACAAGAATATGCAATAAAAAATGGGGGTTTCCATTTAAAAAATGCAAAGTATTTTTTATGCGACCTTGACGGTGCTATTCAAAGTCAAACTGATACGATCGTTATAAATAGATTATTTTAAGCCCTACAACTTTTGTACAAAACATTTTTCTCTCAAATACTTAGGTTCCTCAAAAAACTGCTGTTACGGTCGCTCTGATACACCCTGTATAATAATTACATATAATAGTACAAAATGAAATAAAACTTACCACAACAAAATGAATGCTCCAATTTCATTGAATTATTTTCAATATTTTGTATTATATTTAATACATTAGTGCCATCATTGCTCGTGGAAGGACGAATAATCAGTTGTGATACAATTGTTGGTCGAGCTGTTACGTTCCCTGTAATTGAAAGAAATATATCGTTTACATTATTGGCATTGCAGTGATACAAATGTAACATTATAGATAAATTATAGGATAAATTTGTGTAGAGCTTTATTTTGGCAATAAAACAAAAGAAAAGAATGAAAAGAGAAATCATTACTACAATTACAATTATTACATTACAATTAATAAATACTTAACAAAAATAGCAGAATAGGAAATAGTTCTATTATGGACTGGGAGGTAATAAGGGAGGTTTGATAAGGAAAGAAGAAAAAAGATGGGGAATCAAGATAATCTAAGAAGAAATTGATAAAGAAGGCCAAATATTGATAAGCAAAACTAAAGATCAAGGATGGTCAATTTAAAATAATAGCTACGAGAAAGGAGGATATTGGACGTATGTGGAAGTACATGGAAGTACATTAATAAATATAGGAAAAAGAAATAATAGATGAAAATATTCCTATAAACTGCTGGAAGTAGTTTCATAGAATTATCAAGAAAAACAAGAAAGAGGCATATATTAAATCTGAAGAAAGCAAAAGAGGATTTTTCATTAAGATACAAGAGCAGCAAGAGATACGGAAGAAAGAATAGGATATTTAATAAGATTGATGACATAATAATTTGAAACCTACCTTTTACAACTTTTCGACTTTCTTGCTTCTCGTGTATCATTTTTTGCATTTCTGAAAAGCAAGAGAAATATAAGATTTTTATTTAAATTGTTCGTATTTTTACTCAATAAACAAAAAAAAATAAATGATAATAAGATATATAACAATTTATTTACGACAGTATTTATGTTTGCATATACAAAATTATTTTGATTTTTTTTTTAAACAAAACAAATCTTTGTTCGTACAAAAATATATTCAATGTATATCCATATTCAATGTATAAATATCAATGTACCTGTGTCACTACATGACGACTCATCTTCGTATGAATCTAATGAGGTTACGTCTACAAAATTAGTTTCCAATATTTCATCACTGATCTCAGGTTCATTAATATCGTTGACACTTTTGGTTGGCACGTTGGTTAAAGCGTAGTCTTGTCTTCGCCATTCTCTTTATTTTCCGGTTCAACAATTACGTGCTCAAAATGTGGAACATCGGTATAAGATATATTGAGATTATCTTCGTTATCTGTACAAGAATCATCCGTAATGATACACTGTTTTGGAAGAACATTATTATGATCTCGCGTTTCTAAGTTGACTGTCGTATTGATAGGTCTATGTATAATTGATTGCCGCTCATGTCTTGCAAAAGCTTCAAGGCGCCGATTCTTTTGGCGTAAAGATAATTCTCGGAATCTTTTAGGCATCTGTTAATAATGAATATTATTACATAATAACGCAAATATTTATTTATTATTTTATTAATTATTGCAATATTATTATTTTATTAATTATTGCAATATTATACAAGGTGGATTATTTTAAACTTTTCACTGAAATACTTCTTTTTTTACACAAAATTTTTCACATAAAAGCTACAAGATATGAGCAATAGACGAATAAAATCCGGTTTTGGAAAAAACAGTATCTTCCAATATAATATAAAAATCATAGCCTGTTTTCTTAAAAATAGAATTGTTCTTAAAAACAGAATCAATTTTTTCAAATATGTGATTCCTGTAATCACATATTTGAAAAAATTGATTCTGTAACACACATATTCTGGTAAAGTGTTATATCATAAAAGTATTACACCAAGTTTATAAAAAAAAGTAAATATTTGCTTGCAATAAAGTACTGACACATTTTCTATACATAAAAAAAAATAAAGAATAAAATAAAAAAATAATTTGCAAGAAGTTTTATATTTTACGTCGAAAAGTTCAATCACATATTGTAAAAATTAGAATACAATATTTAACAACTCAACAAATAATTTCTTTTTATTAATAAATAATATTAAAAAATAAAAATTATGACAATATTTTTTTAGCCACACCCCAATCGACACTGATCAATATAACAATATGTGTTATATTTACATTACTGAGTGCAAAATTTTAAGATGGATATAATGTTACTGTTATATATATATATATATATATATATATATATATATATATATATATATATACAGGGTGTTCAAAAAGTCCCGGTACGGGGGAATAACTCGAAAAGTAAGGGTCGGACAAAGAAACTTTTCGGACAAAAGTTGTAGGGCTTACTCCGAGCTTTTATCTCGTGACCTTGAGTTTGACCTTGAGCTTGACCTTCAAGGTTATTTGAAGGTCAAAGTGTTTTTTCTAAATGGGAACCCCTATTTTTGATTGTATATTCTTATAGTTGACCTCGAGAGCTTTCCAAAACACTATAATAAAATATTTTTCCCTCAAGCATTTATCGAGTTATAAGGCTTCAAATCATTTCTTAATTTTACATAAACCGTAAAATATCTTGTAAAATATTCACTTTTCAATTATTTTACCTTAATACTTTTATGTACAAAATAATGAGAGGAATCAATTGGTCTAAAAAAAAACACATAATTGTTCCGAAGAAAAAATATGTAATTTGCAATTAACAATTACATATTTTTTCTTAAAAACAACTGTATGTTTTCTTTACACCAATTGATTCCTCTCATTATTTTGTACATAAAAGTATTAAGGTAAAATAATCGAAAAGTGAATATTTTACAAGATATTTTACGGTTTATGTAAAATTAAGAAATGATTTGAAGCCTCATAACTCGATAAATGCTTGAGGGAAAAATATTTTATTATAGTGTTTTGAAAAGCTCTCGACGTCAGCTATAAGAATATACAATCAAAAATAGGGGTTCCCATTTAAAAAAAACACTTTGACCTTCAAATAACCTTGAAGGTCAAGCTCAACGTCAAACTCAAGGTCACGAGATAAAAGCTCGGAGTAAGCGCTACAACTTTTGTCGGAAAAGTTTCTTTGTCCGACCCTTACTTTTCGAGTTATTCCCCCGTACCGGGACTTTTTGAACACCCTGTATATATATATATATATATATATATATATATATATATATATAGTGTATTTATATTATATATATTACATATAAATTGTTACATATACTTGCATTAATTATAATTCTTAAAAATAGGAAATATATACTACAGGGCCGTGCAGGTAAATCCGGAAAAATTTACTGAAAGAAAAAAATAATTATATTATCCCCAAAAATTTTTTTACATGCACACAACTTGGCAAAATGAAAGTACTCACCACATACGTTAATATTACTCTATATAATCCCCGTTCGCCTCAACGACCTGCTCCAGCCGAGACCTGAATCGCCTACACGCCCGAGCCAGCTCCTCTCTGTTCATATTGGTCATTACCGCCGTAATTTTTTTACGTAGCGCGTCCTTTGTGTTATGAGGTTCATTGTTCACCTCTGCCTCTACTACGCCCCACACGTAGTAATCCAGCGGATTGCAATCTGGGCTGGAGGGCGGCCACAAGTCCGGCGACCAATGATAAGGAACATTGGTCATGAAGCCATGCTTGCGTGACTCTCGCCTTGTGGGCTGGCGTAGAATCCTGTTGGAAGACGTATTCACGTCCATCGGCCACACGGTCCATCCACGGTTTAACGACCGTCTCTAACACGTGGATGTACACTGCCGCGTTGATTTTGAGTCCCTGCTCAAAGAAATACGGCGGCATCACGTCTCCGTCACTGCTGACGACGCCCAAAACCATAACCGACGCAGGGAACTTCGTATGCATGACCGTCGGCACATCGGAAGCGTCCTCGCAAATCCACCTATCGTTTTGGCGGTTGACCTTTCTGTCCTGAATAAAGTTTTTCTCGTCGGTGAAGAACCGAAGATGATGGGCGCTCTCGTGCTTAATGTCGTTTAGCAGTGCTTGGCATTTGATTTTCCGGTTGACTTTCATGGCGTCCGTCAGCAATTGTCGCCTCCGTAGTACATACGATTTATAATGCAGATCCTGGTGAACTGCACGACTCACTGTTGCACGATGTACGCCCATATCTTTGGCCAACTTTGCCATACTGGTTCCAGGACTCTGGTCAATCCGATCCTTTAACTGATCGATGAATTCACCAGTCCGCTTCCGGTCTGATCGCTTGCTGTGGCTTACCCGGTCCGAAGTAACATCGTCCTTGTTGTCCGCCTCTCGATAGGTTTTGGCTATCTCGTAAACTTGCGTTTTTGAGTAGCCAAACCAATCCACAATCTCCTTGGCGGTCTTCCCGGCGCGCAGTGATTCCAGGTTCGCAGCTCTCCTGTCCTGTTCTTTGCTCATCTTTCCACTTTCACTTTATACGTTGTTTCATTGTCAAAGTACGCTTCTTAAGCTTTAATTAGAAACCTAGAACACAAAAATCCAATAACACATCACTTCACTATACCTATCTAAACTTTTTCCGGATTTACCTGCACGGCCCTGTATTTACGTATATGTGTGTGTGCGTGTGCGTGCGTGCGCGCGCGCGCGCGCGTGTGTGTGTGTACATATATGCATATATACTTATAATTCCTATTTTTAAGAATAACATTTGTAAATAGTATCTATTAAGCTCATTTTGCAGATATGAAATATGTATTTTCAGGCCAGTATTCACAGTCGATTCTTATATTTAAGACCGTCTTAAGTACTATCTAAAGATGTCATTAACCAATCTGATATAATAACTATATTAACATCTTAAAATATTTAAGATAGTCTTGAAATAAGAATCAACTATGAATATTAGATTATTTCTCTTTTATTTCATGTTGCATAAACTTTTAAATGAATAAATTTTTTAAATTATTGCATATTTAATAAAAGGGAATTTTTATGTATATGTATGATGTTTCTTTTTATGATGAAATATCTATGGTTATCAAAAATGTAAATATTAAACTAAAATAATTATTCATTTACAAAAACGTGAAATATACAAAATAGAACAAATGGACAATCGACTTACCAAATAAAGAATTTATTCGACCGACAGTGTGAAAACACAATATAAATGAAGTGCTTTAACGGTCATAGCTAGATCTAAGGGAAACCTGGCAGTCTCTGATTACCGATTTTAATAACATTTTATGGATGTGTAGTATTCACTCAAACATTTGTTACAGTAAAGCAAATATATTTTTTGTATTCATAAAAAATTTTAATTTAATTATTAACAGAAGAACATCTTTAAATTCCGTGATTTTTAACAAAATAACATTTTATATTAAATAATTAATAATGATTAAAAAATTGTATATAACAATTTAAAAATATAAGATTTAAATGAAACAAAATGTCTTCGAGGACAGAACCTGGAACTCCGAGCATAACAATCAACGTTTTAACGCTACATCATTGATTCAACAATCACTTTTCCATAACGGTACTATATAGATGCTGGAAATCTTCATTTTCTCGAGGATGCCTGAATAATGGCACCTGGAGCTTTACTGCTTAATAAAATGTTTTAGTGAATATTATCAAATCCATTAAATTGTATTAAAATTTTAATAAAATCAGCAATTAGCTACTGCAGGATTCTCCTTGATAATGTAATATTTATTGTGTGATTTTATATATATCTTTTCAAGTTCATTAAACTGTGCACCGAATAGATTTTTCCCCTGGCTGAGGTATTATTTTTTGCAATAATTTCTTTACAGTTTTTTTTAGGGGGGAGGATGGGTTTTCATATTTCGATGCAAGTTAGCATCATTAATTATTAAATTGATTTTCAAATAAATAAAGTGATATTACTATTAATTTAACTTGGAGCTGTTATGATTAAAAACATATTTGGCGTGCAGTTTAGTGAACTCTTAAAAAGGTATATACAATCACACAATAAATATCAACACTAAGACCTAGCAATGACCGTTACGGCACTTTGTTATTTATATTTTCAAATTATTTAAATAAAAAATTAGAAATGTAAATTACCTTGATTATGTATCGTATGCTGCTTCGCTCAATATCAAGTCAATAATCAAATTCGCCGGCGCTTCGTCTTTCGTACTGCTTCATGCAGATATTTTGTTTCGGCTAACTGCAGAATTAGCACCGCCTCTATTGCACAAGATAAGCTGAAAATAAAAATACTGTTACTAATTACAGATACACGGAAATTCAATAGAGAAGAAAGAGGACGATTCTAACCTCACTTGTACATAATTGTACATATCAGGAATTATTACATATAAAATTTACATATGTATATACAATATATCTCTGATATCCTTTAATATTTTATGCTATAATATTAATTATGAAAGAAGGACATTACCTTGATAAATATTGCACAGTTGGAACAAAAAGCCGGCACGCGGGAGGCACAATGGGCACACACTACAGAGACGATCGAAAGGATGAAATCGCGGCGATCGCATGTCACGCGCGCATTACGCGCCAACTTTTGACTTTCGAAGTCGACATTTAGCCGACTATTTCTAGTATAATTTTTGTCGACTTTAAATTGTTGACTTAAAGTCGACAATTTAAAGTCGACAAAAATCATCCTGGAAATAATCGGCTAAATGTCGACTTTAACAGCTGACTTTAAGTCGCCTGAAAAAAGTCGACTATTAGTCGACAAACAGTCATTTGTGCTGTGTGGGAATTGACATTTACCAATCAATTTATTATGCAGTCGGTAATTTTCTGCATGATAAAAGATTGACACAAGCATTAAAACTCACCCTGTATATATACAATACACACACACACACACACACACACACACACACACACACACACACACACACACACATATATATATATATATAAATATAATATATAATATAATAAAAAAATATATATGTATATGATAAAAAATTTTTTAAAAACCAACTGCCCGTTAAAGTTGGAATTTCAAACTTCAAAATGCTTTTTTAACTTCTTGTCTACGATGATTTTTCGACGAGTTTCAACGATTTGAAAAAGTCCAATTTTTAGGAAACAAAAAGTGTTCCCTATTTTTTTGAGTAGTGTATATATATAAATACATATAGGAGAGCATATGTATTTATACATATAGCAAATATCTAAATAAAACATTATAAAATATAAATATAAATTAAGGTTAAAAAAGACAATTTTTTAAACATATTGATTAAACATAGGAATAAATATATATCTTATACATTATACAATAATTTTTGCACGTACCTATATTAGAAACTTAGATATTTATAAAAAAATTTGCTACAGAAGCTATTATAAAAAATTCAAGCATATAACATAAAGCTCAAATATTCGTATATAAACAAGAGAAATATTTGTTTTAAGTTTATACTTATATTAATATACAAGCATTTGAGTACTCCATTAGTGCTATTTCTTTAAATCTAATGTCCAGTATAAAGCAAATTCTTTTTACATTTTTTGTACATTATTAAATTATAACATTTTGAATCTCGATTTATTCACGTCGTAAATTCTCGAGTCGAGCTTGTAAATCCGCATCAGCATCCGCAAGATTGCCTCCTTCCTCATTACCTGCTGCAGCAGCAACTGGCTGCTTGGAACCAGCTACACTTAGTGATCCAGATGCTTGTGGTAATCCAGAAAGTTGATCCGTCAATTGCAGACCTAATTCGTCCAATACCTGAGCAACTATGGCATCACTGTGAAAATATAATTGATACATATCATTACTTCTTAATAATAAAAAATATATTACCTATAAATAGTTTTTAATCTATAATTAATTGATAAATATTAAATAATTTTTTAGTATGGTATAAGGAATATTTATGTATATTATATAATTGATATAAGGAATATTTATGTATATTATATAATTGATATAAGGAATATTTATGTATATTATATAATTGATATAAGGAATATTTATGTATATTAAAATTTTTTTTATACCTTTCCTCTTCATCGCCTTCATCTTCCATTGCATCATCTATTGCATCATTCATTATTTCTTCTTTCATATCCATTATCTCTGACTGTTTTTCAAATTCTTGTAATATTTTTTGTATTTGTGGTAAGTTTAATTGTCTGTAAGAATAAAATAAAACTAAAAATAAAAAATATCGCTTAATAATATTAAGAAACAAAGATATAAATTGTTTTGTTTAACAAATGCACAAATAAATTAGATAAAATAAATATTTGCAATAAAAATATTTGCCACATATATAAACTGTGTAATACTTGGTAAATTATATTAATCTTTTATTCATCAATCTTGCATAGCTTACTTATTCATGTTTTGCATAGCTTTAGTCACGCCTTTCATAGCTTGTGCCATTGTATTTTGAGAACGTAAGGTTTGTATTTTCAAAGATACTGCTTGAATATTTGCTTTCATCAGCATAAATTTTTTTACATAACGTCTTGTCCTAACTAGATCTTTGGCCATAATTTTTACAGCATCCTATAACAATTTTTAAAAAAAGTCGAAATAATATTAAATAATTATATATAACAAAAGAGAGAGAGAGAGAGAGATTACCATTTGTCCATCCTTTGCAAGTTTCTTTATATCAGCTATAATTTTCTTTTCTTGTTGTTCCATTCGTACTTTTTCTCTATCTAAATCTCGCATTGCCTTATTCAATGCTCTTTGATTTTTTCTGAGCATTTCCTCAGGAGTTATACGCTTGCCAAATAGCCATTCCATGATTCTGAAATATATGGCAAATTATTCATTAAATCAATATAATAAAAATATAAATATACTAAATTATACATGGTTAAGAAAAATGTTAAATTGATATATAATAGAATTAATATATAGTAAAAGATAAAAAAATACATATATATATAAAAATAAAATATTTTAGAAAATGTACTTTAATTTATAGTAAAATTATAATACATATAATTATAAATAATTATAAATATAAATGTATTACTATATTCAAATACTGTATCCTATATATTATTATTTAATAATTTTTGTTATCAATTCATATACAGCATATATATATATATGTAGTATATATTTATTAATTTCGTAAGAATTTCAAATTTCTTTTTAGTGTGATACTTCTAATCTAAAAAGATTATCCCATACAAAAGAACATTGAATATTTGAAACTTTATATTATTTTGAGTCACTTTAAAATGTAAAAGTTAAAGGTTATGTATATTTTATGAGTCACTTTAAAAATACAATAGTGAAAATATTTGAGATTTTACATTCTTTATGTACAAAGTTTTTGATCAAAAACTATTTCAATATTTTTTCAGCCTGTTAATATATTTATTACATATTATTATTTAATCCAGAATGCGCACATAAACGTCAAATCCGTAGAACTACAATGGTCTAGTTTCCACCGAAGTTTTCAGTCCGATTCTGCTTCAGGGCTTCGGTACGCATCGGATTTAGGTCCGGTTCCACAATCCAATTAATCTGAGTTTAAGTAGTGAATGGACCAATCAGGACCCAGTTTAACGTATTAAACTCGGATTAACTCGAGTTGTGGAATCGGGCCTTAAAGACCGCAGCACACACTTTTGCATAAGCGCATAACCATAAGCATAAGGAAATTGATTGGTCCTCAAGTATATGCATAAGAAAATGAACCAATCAATTTTCTTGTGCTTATGGTTATGCACTTATGCAAAAGTGTGTGCTGCGACCTTTAAAGGCCGCAGCACACACTTTTGCATAAGCGCATAACCATAAGCATAAGAAATTAATTGGTTCATTTTCTTATGCTTATGGTGTGACGTCCCGCCATTTTAAAAATTACTAGATTTAGTTACTATTCGCTTATCCATCTTGCTTCTTTATTATAACCAAGGAGTAAGAGCGAATATTCAATTTCATTAATTATAATCCGAATTTATTCATTATTACTATAGATTTTAATTTTAATATATGAATTATAACATTCAACACTTGCTTACCGTTCCTATTATACACGGTTATTTAACCTGCTAATTAATTATGTACCCCTTATCGCCATAAGACCTAACCGGTTAAGAGCGTTCTCGTACGAGAAAACATTAAAAAAAAAATATGTACCCCTTAATCAATACATAATAAGGACTTTTTATACATATTAAATTTAAAAATTAGATTTAAATAAATGCGACCAAAATCGATAATTACGTAAATAAGGTATTTCAAGGAAATTATTGGATTAACTTTAAACGAATAACTACCAAACCATTTTAACTCTTTGAAATGCTTTATTTAAACTCATTATTAATTCACAACCAGTGTAAATAATTTCCTTTATATGCTGTAACTTAAATTTGAATATTCTATCTAAATTGAGTTATATTTCTAAATCTTTTCTAAAATATAAGGGAAGTTATACATATAACGATTCTATAATCTCAATACCATTGCGTTAGACATTAGTATTAAAATTAAGAACGAATAACTTTTGCGCGAGGTAATCAAAGAGGAAGTCATAAATATGTCAAACACCAGTCTCTTTGGAGACGTCAACCGACATCTCCGATGAAATTCACGCGTTACCCTTTGATCACCGCCGCGTTTCAATGAAAAGATATCTATGTCTAAACAATTGATAAGAAATTCGGTGGTGCTTCCGAGAACGACGTGGTCCGATGAAGAGATCACCTTACTCGAGAATTCCTTTAGCAAAAGATCATGCAAGTAACAAAGGAATTACCAGTATATAAACCCCGGATTTCGGGCGCGAAACACAGTAGTAATAATAACCATTCAGTAGAAAGGACTTGCTACCAGTCGTTTTGTCAAGTATCGCTATTATTCGTATATCCTAGCTATTAATAATAATTAAGTTAACTTTTGTCAATTTGCTATTTCTCTCGGTGGACCTCGAATAAAGAGCTATAATTGTGCATATCTACCGTGTCCATTTTTTTGGAAAGACCCAGACTTCCCGTATACGAAGGCGACTACAATCAACAGAATTTCATCTCGGAGTGGTAAGTACCAGATTCTTTTATATTCTTTATTTTTTAATCTCTCGTTTTCAAATTCAATTGTTCGTTCACCTTCCTTGCATTCTTTATACCTCCAGAAACAAGAAATAGAAGATTAAATGAATAAATAATAATACTGTCAAGCACCGGCATGCCGCTGATAGTATTCCTTTCCTAATCAGCATAAAATCGTAATACCTTATCATTTTATTCTGGCAAGCGTCAAGATAATCATTAATTAAAATTATATAGCTCTCATCCGTTAAGCGTCGAGTACCTCCTTCCTTTATTTAAGATCTCTCCAGGCATCCTCTGTCATGCCGGAGACTTCTGCATTCTCCTGTTTTTACTCCAAAAGGATTCATTATTACCCAATAAGCAAAATGTAAGCAGTATGTCGACAGACTGGCAACAGATTTGATCAAACCATGTCAGCAGAATGACATCTACTGCGTCCTCATTCTGCTTCTAATCTGCTAGCAGAACCTGCTCACAGAATCGGATATCAGATTGTCGGCAGAAACTGAGCAGGATCTGCTATCAATGCTAACATGACTTGGTGTCAGACTGTTAGCAGAAATCGAACAGGATTTGCGCGTGCAATTTGATGTTAGATTGTCCGCAGAAACCGAACAGAATCTGCGGATGCAACCTGATGGCAAATGGACAGCAGAAATTTCACAAGATTTGCACTTTTATTAATATTATATAAATGCAACAAAATTGATTATTACAGATGCTAAATAACAATATTATCAGCAAGTTAATTAGAATTTTCTTATAGAAAATACATAAAAATGACATATATGTAATATGTTATATCATAGTTATATTTCATATAGCGAAGGACTAATTTCAATTCTATTTAATTAAATTAATAATAAAGTAAATGTAACTTGTAAAACTTGAGATGTAATTTATTTAGAATTAAATTCTTGCTTTATGCCTCAAATAGCCAGTGCATGAATAATTTTCCATATATTATATTGATTCCAATCAGTTTAATATTCTGAATTCTGACTCTCATTTGCTTGTATCAGATATCAGAAATTAAAGTGAAAAATTAAAATGATAATTACTATATTTTTAGTCTTTTATTCATATTCGTGACTTTATATATATTTCTGACAGAAATTCAATTACGAGAAAGTACAGCTCACGTAGCGGTAAGTGAAAGAACTATCGAATCATGCAAATCCTATTCCATTTCTGCCATCAATCTGCTATCAGAGATTGTATGCGCAGATCCTGTTCGATTTTTGCCGACAATCTGTTGTCAAATTGCATCGCACAGATCCTGTTCAATTTCTGCCACCAATCTGCCACTAAGTTATGCCGGCAGAATCTGTTCGATTTTTGCTGCCAATCTGGTAACTGATTATGTTAACAAGCTTTGTTATATTTCTGTTGACATTCTGGCGACATCACATGATATATCAGAACCTGCATCGATTCTGTAATCTTTCTGTCGACAACAATTTCTAACAGATTCCCTGACAAGATCTGCTTTAGCAGACTTGGCTATTGGGGTAGTTTAGCCGACCCTCGATTTCCATCGTCTCCGGACATCCACTGTTATGCCGGAGGCATCCTAATTTCCTAAATTAATTCGTTAATCGGCGTTTCACGGAATATATAAACGAAATTTGAAATTATATAATCTACTGCATTCAACTCAAACGTCTTTCCTCATACAGGGAAACAGCATCTTCTCGGTGCCGCCTGAAAACCTTCTTGTTCTCTCTCCCTTTTTCTGTCGCTTCCGGGCATCCTCTGTCATGCCGGATGCATCCTAATTTCCTTATACAAACTCTATCATCCTAACGTTACTCCATCTTAAGAGTCCCGTCGTCTCCGGGCATCCTCCGTCATGCCGGAGACATCCATATCCTTGTAAATTACTGACGTTTTAGTTGAACTAAATAAAAAGAAATATATCTTTTTCGTTATTGTAAAATTCGATCACTTGAGCTGACGCTAATCAGATAGTAACATCAACAAAAGAAAATATCCACTAATTTCCTCAATCAATGGTGAACTCACGACTAAATTCTAAAAAGAAAAGACATAGAGCGGGAAAAATAACCAGGGAATATCGTGATATCTCTCGATTCCGTCGATATCAAAGAATAAGAGCAAACTCAAATTCTCGAAATCTTATTAGAGTTCATAGCTCACTATATCTCGGATGATATTGATATCGATCAATTAATGTATTTGATAGAGAATTTTGAAATTCCATTCTAATAAATATTTAGTATACACGTATATAATCTCATCTTAAAGTTTCGCGGCTTCTACAATTTTTCCGTTATCGATAAGTCAGATCCTCGCTCTCGGCATCCCCAAGGTATAGCCGGTGTAAGCAGATTGCCTTGAAAATAAAGAGAGCGCACTTTACTCTAGAACCGAGGTATCTAGGGGAAAAGTAAGTCACTGAGACGTGACAATGGGTGCTTTCCAGCAAGCAACACAGGCGACACTGTGTCGCTACAGTGTCGATACAGGTGCTTTCCAACTACGACACAAGTCGACACAATCGTACACAGCAAAAATGCTGTGTTCGCCTGTGTCGTCGTTTTGTAGCACCCCAGTGAGTGCCAACATAACATTTCATATTTGGTATCATTAATTTTTTTTAAGAATGGTATTGCGTGATAGAAGATAACCAAACTTTTATATTCGCTAAAAAGACGACTTAAAGACATCTAGACGTCTTTAAGACGACATAATGTTGTGTGGGAACGTTCTGAAAATTTAGACCTAGTGACAACTATTAAAAGTGACTGTCCTGCACTCTAGTGGCAAAATAAGAAAGCTAAAATCGTTCCAGCTACAAGTCGACACTGTGTAAAGCCTATCGCACACAAAATTGCATAGCTTGCATGTGCATAGCATAAGACGATATGGACCAATGAGCATCGAATATTATGTTATGTAAGTCAATATGGCGACTTAATACTCGATGCTCATTGGTCCATATGGTCTTATGCTATGCACATGCAGCTATGCAATTTCGTGTGCGATAGCCCTAAGGGCCTATCCAGACAAACTTGCATAGGTGCATATGCATAAGACCATATGGACCAATGAGCATCGAGTATTAAATCGCTATATTGACTTACATAACATAATACTCGAAGCTCATTGGTCCATATGGTCTTATGTTATGCATATGCCACAGACTTCTATATATATACTAGACTGCTAACCTTGATTCCCTAGACGTACCAGTACATAATGTATATCTTATACATAACTGAATAACCGATTGGAATGTGTCGTCTGCTATGTACATATATCGATCGTCAAGTGAAATGTATTATTGTATTATAATTTGTCAACATTTTTCTAATGTTTATATTTAAAAAATGATAATAATATAAAAAAATATTATTAATATTAGATTATTTTATATAAAAATGCACTTGAGGTTATGTTAGGTTATATCATTTTTTTTAGTTTTATTTTTCATAAAAAACGTCGTGCACAACAATCAGCACATGTTTTTAAAAATGTTATAATAATTAATACATAAAAATGTTATAATAATTAATAAAATATTTTTAAGTTCGAATTAATATAATATTAATACAATATATTAAAAAATGTATACCACATCCTTTCTTATATATATTTGTGCATCCTTGCACCACGCATCTTATTGTCATTATTATGGATATATATATATATATATATATATATATATATATATATATATCCATATATACCTATGCACTTTAATTTATTTTGCCCGTTTAATTTATACATACATAAATGGAACAACGACGATATATAGTATATATATCATATCTCACTCAGTAATCCATAGTCGTAGGACTATAAAATATTAGTCGCATTCCAATCGGTAACTCAGTCTGCCACCTTTGAGTGCCTATGTATACATACTTTCGGGGTACACGCTAGGTGGGGCATATATAACGAGCCTAGCAGTCTAGTGTATTATAGAAGTCTGTGGCATATGCACCTATGCAAGTTTGTCTGGATAGGCCCTAAAGGCTTTCGCACATGAATTGCCACAATCATAAACGTAAACGTAAACGTAAGCTGAAGAACCAATCAAAATATTGCTTTAAGGCCATTTTACAATGGCCGTAGCATAAGGTTGTAAGACGTAAGACTCAAGAAATTGACCAATCACAGTCGAGTATTCTCCTAATACTTGACTGTGATTGGTCAATTCCTTGAGTCTTACAACCTTATGCTACGGCCATTGTAGAATGACTTTTACAGACGGCCAAATTGAGCAATGCGATTGGTCGAAACCTTACTGTTATGTTTTATGGAAAGTATGTGCTATAGCTTTAAGTTTCCTTAAAATTTCATTATAGAGAGCAATTTTTTTTGCTGAGGCCGGAGTCTCATAGAGCGGAAATATTCAGCGGAACGGAACGCGCGGAGCCAACCCGACCAATCATAGTCATTCCGTTTCTTTTTGAACCATTCCGCTATAATTTTACCACTGAAATCTGTGGAATGATAATGGATAATTTATTCTAACCGCAATTCTTGCAGCATTATAAGTATCTTTGCTCGGAAACTTAATTGGTGAGATAAAGATCTGTAATATGAAAACAGAGAATATTCTAAAGTTGTCTATTTATAAATTATTAATTGCATTATCTGTAAAGATGCGGTTATGTTTTCGCTGATGTATTTCTCCTAATGTCCCATTAAGCGATAAACGTGATAGCGGAATTATATTTCAACCAATCGTAAAATAATTCTACATTTATGTTAAAAATATTTTACAGAAAAAACAATATTATTGTTAATAACAATTTTATTGTTAATTACTTTATCATATATTATTTTATTTGTATAAAATATTATTCTAATTATTATAAATATTGAAAATAACATAAAAAAGCGATCTTCTTTATCATTCCGCCTGATTTATTTCCGCTTATTCCGCTCCATGGGACATTAGGAAAATAGAAAAAGCGTCGGAAAAGAAACGGAATGACTGTGATTGGTCGGGTTGGGTCCGCGCGTTCCGCTGAATATTTCCGCTCCATGGGACTTCGGCCTGAAGGCTGATGGCAGGAAACAAGGGGTGTTTACGACAATTAATCGGATCTCTGATCGGACTGAGCAGTGGTACTCAGCGATAGACTTCCTAAATTTCCCTAGACTAATCCGGATCAATGATGTGTCTCTGAAGTAATCGAATTAGATTAACTTATTCTTATTTTATAAAAAACATCTTATTCCAGTAAAATACATTTGTTTATTAATATATTTGATAAATAAAGATATATTAATTCAAAAAATAATAAAGTATTTTTTATAATTTCTTATGATGTTTTTTACAATTTTTTCGATCAGCTCGATCGCAATTTCTTCCGATGACTGTTAATCTAATTCGATTACTTCAGAGACACATCATTGATCCGGATTAGTCTAGGGTAATTTAGAAAGTGTATCGCTGAGTACCACTGTTCAATCCGATCAAAGATCCGATTGATTATCGTAAACACCCAAGGATATTTTCCGATTCATGTATGATGCGCATGAAGTGACAGAAAATATATAGTTCATGTCACGCATATTATACATTTTCTGTCGCTTCATGCGTATCATGCGTGAATCGGGAAGTACCCCAAGACGTAAGCGCTTACGTCTCGTTCTTGCTCGTTCTTTGCTATCAATCGAACGCAACCATTTCTAGCCTGTGGCCGGTATTCATAATCCGGTCTTATATTTAAGATCATCTTAAGAACTCATTCAACCAATCAAATAGCTACAATGCAGCCATTGATTGGTGGAATGAGTTCTTAAGATGATCTTAAATGTAAGATCGGACTATGAATACCGGCCTATGTTTCTATCCGTTTTCATGTCCTTTTTTATGTTCATTCTCTCTCTCTCTCTCTCAGTCTCTTTCCCCACTCTTCCTTCCTCCTTTCATCCTTTTTTATTCTCTCTCTATCTCTCTCTCTCTAGCTCCTGTTTTGATCGTATATAGAGAGCTCTTCGAATAGTAGAATATATTAAAAAAATGTTTTTTATATAAATAAGTAAAAATTCTACAGGTTTAACCTTGAAAATCAGAGACAAAGAAAAAAAGAAACAGAAAGTGGAAGGAAAAGAGATAGAAAATGATAATTTGTATTATATATCGTGACAGTTATGTCACGGTCGCCCTTTAACCGTGACAAGCAATATGCACGATACGCGCGCCACTATTGTATTCCTGTAGAAGAACAAAAACACGTGGCACTTCTCAAGGTAAATGTGTCACATAGAAGTACATGACGATTAATTAATCTTCATCTAACAAAGCAATTCGTAAAGACGCATTTCTTTATTCCACAGTACACTAGGAGCTTAAATATGATACGATACTCTAACAAATTGTGACGTCACTTAATAAACGCGGCAAATTCGTGTTGTCCAGGTCACATTTCACAAACACATGTTGACAAATATACGTATCAGAATCTTTAGAGACCCAACTTTTAAGATTCTCTCAAAACGATTTTTAAGTAATTATAAGATTATATTTTTAAGTAATTATAAGATTTTAAGTAAGATTATTAATTAATTTATAAATCTATACCTACATAATTGTATAATATTGTATAAAAATAATTGTATGTAATATATATATATATATGTATGTATGTATGTACTTTTTGTTTTTAGAACATAACAGCTATTTTTAAGTAAAAGTTCTGATAGTCAAAAAATGAGTCAATTGCAAACTCATTTAATCGCTGCTGCTATTGGAGCAACTATCGGTGTTATAAGTGCGGCTAGTATCTTTATTTACCAAAAAGTTTTGGAAAAACAACAACATGCTATGAAAAACGCTCACTTAGATGAAGTTGACCGTCGTCTCACGGAGTTACAAACAGAATTGGAAAGATTGAGGTAATAATAAATATAATTACCTCTTATTGACTAATATTTTGAATAACGTATGAAGGGGATATATATCTAAAATATTTTCAATCAAATATTATATTAATTATATATTGATTAGATGTTTGAAGAGACTTTTTCTATTTTGCAGAAATTGTAATTTTCAATATTCATATTTGAAAGATATTATTTGAGGATTTATATTTCTATAACATTTTTTTTATCAGAATGATTAATTACACATTGATAAAATTAGGAGGAATCAAATATTTAAAAATATTCCATTGCTAATTGAGAATTGATTACAAAATACTATATGTTCTTTATCTTATTTTAGAATACAACAAAATCAACAGAGAAAGAAGAAACTTAGTCGTAAACGTGATAATGATAATACACTTACTACAACAGAGAATGATACTGATCGCTTTTCAATAGCAGCTACAGATATAGATGATGAATTTTTTGATTGCTCAGACAGTGAAAATAATATAAGTGACATTGAAAATAGGTCAGTTTATTAATACATTTATTATTTGCTTTGTTTACATTAGAATTATTAATTCGACTTACAAAGATTTTTTTATAGTTATAAGTGCAATTAGTACCTTTATTTATTTCAAAAAATTTTGGAAAAACAAGTTTAGTCATTCAAATAGACTGCTTTAGATAAAAAATTATTCTATTTAGACAATATTTGGACACTAGATTAATGGATAAATTTTCTAAAAGGATCCATGTTTGCACAAAGCTTTAGCTTTTTCTTTTTGTTACAATAATCACAAATTTTCAAATCTCAAAAGGAAAAGATGTATTATATGCTTAGTGATGCAGGGCAATTGAAGCCACCTATTTTGGATTAGACTTTTCCATTTTTGATATACATTATCATCATGGGGGATATGAAGAAGATGATTATCTCAAATTACAAAGCTTTACAGACAGTTATCCAGATAATGTAGATATAGTTTGGAGGTATGCCAGAAGTTGTTACAAATATTCGCACTGTATTATTGACCCAAATGCAAAAAAAGTTACAATTTGTGCAGGTGTGTAATTGAATTTGTGCACAAATCAAATCTTTAAAATACTTAATTAAAATATTTATCTTCCTAGGTATTAATGCATGTGAAAAGCTTCTTAATGTATCAAATGCATATTTGCATAAATGGTATGCTATACTCGTGGGTGTATATGGTGAATTTTTGCCAATAACAGAGAAAATAAAAAACGGTTATCGTTTCAAGGAGCATGTAATGAAGGCCTTAGAAATAAGTCCAAATGATGCTGATCTACATCATTTACTTGGTAGATTCAAATATGAGGTGGCTAACTTAAGTTGGATTGAAAGAAAGGTATACATTTTATGATTTAATAGCATAATTATTAAATAAAAAATTTCTCATTAAATGCATTTTCTTTCGATTGTAATTAATTTTGAATCAATTTTCTTCTCATTATAACATTGAGACAGCTTTTAAATATAATTATATCTAATTAATATCTTTAAAAATAAAAAAAAAAACAAATACATAAGTAAATTATATTCTTTGTTTAATTTTTAAGTAGATCTTATATTAAATAAAGTCTAATTTTTCATTTTATTCTAGTCTTATATTTTAAATAGATCTTATATTTTGATAAAAATTTTCAATTTCATCCTTATTTACTTGAATATATAATATTTATAGTAATCTCTTTTCTCGATCTTTTCTCTATCGCATTAAAAGAAAATGCTTTTAATGTAGGATCTCATATAACACTGATTTTTTCTGCTGGTTTTGTTGTGATAATAAGGTCGCTGCAACATTATTCTCGGAGCCACCAAGTGCCTCATATGAAGATGCAATTGATAGCTTCCAGAAGGCAGAAAATTTTTCAATCGAAGTAAATCTGGAAAATCAATTATTTCTAAGCAAATGTTATATAGCTTTGAGCAAGTATGAATTGGCTTGCAATTGGCTGGAGAAAATTTGCGACTTTTCAGTTGTGAGCAAAGATGATGAAAAAATACAAAACGATGCTCGTCAACTTCTTACCAAATATTCAAAATATCATCAGTAGCATAAAAGTTTTAATAGATCTGGATCTGGATCTATTCATATGTTCTAAATATATTAATCGCGTAATATACGTAAATAATTCATAGAATATAAGAAAAGAATAGAGAGAGAAGATAAAGAAAATGTACAAGCAATTTTAAAGTTAAATGTGTTGAACAGAAATATATAATTTTATCATAACAAACTTTTATATTAAATTAAAATAGTTATATGTCTTTTTTGGTAAAAAATTACAATAGTATGAAATGTTTTATTAAACAAATTTAGATATTAAGAATGTTTTAAAATTTTGTCATTTTGTTGGGCATATTGTGCTTTATATTATACATTTTTAAGAAAATTGTAAATTTACTATCATTATACTTATGATTTTATCTTTTTATTATCTATTTCCTAATAAAAATAATGCAATAAAGCGTAAACAAATTATTTAATGTATTCAAATATTTTCATACATTCATGAATCTTCAGTTTTTCTTATCCTCCCATTTTTAAATATTTATATTTAATTATAAATATTTGCGATATTTTAATTTGCGAAAAAATGATAAAAGAATAATTTAAATTTAAAAAAAATTAAAAATGTATATAACTGACAAGGAGACGCACGGAAGTGTCCTTTTCGATTTTAATGAGCTTTTAATGTTGTTTTCTATACAGAAATAATAGACACGTATTTTTTGTTTATGCATACGCGTTTAGGGGGTAAAATACCTCTTTTAAAAAAAATCGGTTTTTTCCTATCTAAATGAATATCTCTGGAACTATAAGAAATAGACAAAATTTTTCAATTAAATTAAATAATTTCAAGAGTACTTTATAACAATGACAAAAAAATTTTTTATTTTTTTAATTTTTAAAAATACCGCCACCAATAAATATTTCTTTTTTCAATTTTGAAATTTATTTATCATCAAATGAAAGCCCAGATAGAACAAGATCCTCAGGTTCATCCTAAATATATTCAGGATGTCCTGAGATAATTTCAGAATTATTCTAAATATGTTCAAGATGCTCTAGAATGTTTCTAAGATATTCCTGCAGAGCAAAAGTTGATCCTATAGATATGACCACCGGATATACTTCAAAAACTTAATTCGAAAGATATCTGTGTAAAACCTTAGGACATATTTAGGACATATTTAGGATATACTGAGGATATTTGAATGTCTGCTTTCCCGTTATCCTTAGGAGAAAATAGATAAATCCAAGATCCAAAAATAGATATATCCTTGGGATGATTTACGTAACAAAATTAAATCCCAATAATATCCACTGGAAGTTTAAAATATCTTTTTCATTGTCCTAAACTGATCCAGAGGAAATCATTATATATACGAATCTATTTCAAATGTCTATTTAAAATATCTCGAAAGAAATACTTTTTTTGAAAAAAAATTCAAGCAAAAACAGTATAGTTAAAAAAAAAACAGTAATCTTAATAAATATCCAGTCCCACAGGGCACAAAATACTAAAAGACGACGAAAAGATGTCTTTTCTAAGTCGAAAAGACGACTAAAACAAGACGTCCTTTCGTCGACCTTTTAAAGTCTAGAATTTGTACGTTTAAACCCAGACAACACAGGACATTCTATGGACATTCATTTTATGTCCATTTTACGTCCGCACGTCCATGGACATAAAATAAAAGTCTATCGTACATCCGATTTAAGACATCCATTAACGGTCAATATTTGGACGTCCACAATTTGGATGTCCGGTCTTGGAGGTCAAAACACGCAAGCATGTATTAGTTCGTTCGTTTACCGCTACGCGACGTGCGATGCGCTATCTTTCTCGTGTTTAAGTTTCAGTTATGAGAATTATATAAAATTTGCAAAAGATAACAAATAAGATTAAAAATGTATTGTTCAATTTAATTTCTGATCTAAAGCACGGGTTTCAGATATTAAATTGATTTTATAAGTCGGACAAGTAAATGTCCGGCGAATAAACGAAAATAATTTTTCATTATCTATTTAAGATGTAAAGTGCAATATGCAAGTATAAATTACCCAATAAGCAAAATGTAAGCAGTATGTCGACAGACTGGCAACAGATTTGATCAAACCATGTCAGCAGAATGACATCTACTGCGTCCTCATTCTGCTTCTAATCTGCTAGCAGAACCTGCTCACAGAATCGGATATCAGATTGTCGGCAGAAACTGAGCAGGATCTGCTATCAATGCTAACATGACTTGATGTCAGACTGTTAGCAGAAATCGAACAGGATCTGCGCGTGCAATTTGATGTTAGATTGTCCGCAGAAACCGAACAGAATCTGCGGATGCAACCTGATGGCAAATGGACAGTAGAAATTTCACAAGATTTGCACTTTTATTAATATTATATAAATGCAACAAAATTGATTATTACAGGTGCTAAATAATAATATTATCGGCAAGTTAATTAGAATTTTCTTATAGAAAATGACATATATGTAATATGTTATATCATAGTTATATTTCATATAGCGAAGGACTAATTTCAATTCTATTTAATTAAATTAATAATAAAGTAAATGTAACTTGTAAAACTTGAGATGTAATTTATTTAGAATTAAATTCTTGCTTTATGCCTCAAATAGCCAGTGCATGAATAATTTTCCATATATTATATTGATTCCAATCAGTTTAATATTCTGAATTCTGACTCTCATTTGCTTGTATCAGATATCAGAAATTAAAGTGAAAAATTAAAATGATAATTACTATATTTTTAGTCTTTTATTCATATTCGTGACTTTATATATATTTCTGACAGAAATTCAATTACGAGAAAGTACAGCTCACGTAGCGGTAAGTGAAAGAACTATCGAATCATGCAAATCCTGTTCCATTTCTGCCATCAATCTGCTATCAGAGATTGTATGCGCAGATCCTGTTCGATTTTTGCCGACAATCTGTTGTCAAATTGCATCGCACAGATCCTGTTCAATTTCTGCCACCAATCTGCCACTAAGTTATGCCGGCAGAATCTGTTCGATTTTTGCTGCCAATCTGGTAACTGATTATGTTAACAAGCTTTGTTATATTTCTGTTGACATTCTGGCGACATCACATGATATATCAGAACCTGCATCGATTCTGTAATCTTTCTGTCGACAACAATTTCTAACAGATTCCCTGACAAGATCTGCTTTAGCAGACTTGGCTATTGGGGTATAAATAAAATTTTTATACAAAATTTTTATGTAAAATTTTATATGAAATAGATAAATTATATTATTATTTAGGGATTGAAATATATATGTTTCGTTTAAAAATTATGATATGATTTAGTCGTCTTTTAGTCATCTTTTAGTCATTTTTTGGCTTGACAGATTAGTGACTAAATTCGGGTCATGAGCCGACTTTTAGTCGATTTTTCGTCGACTATTGTTTCTAACTAAAAGACGTCTTTGACGAAAATATGTCCAGTTTTAGTCGTCTTTTAGACGTCTTTGTGCCCTGTGGGCAGCCAAGTCTGCTCGAACAGATTTTGTCAAGGGCTTGCTACAAATTCTTGTCACCAAAAAAGCCACAATTTGCGTACAAGAGTTGTTATTACAAATTTTGATAGCAAATTGGCGGCAAAAACCGAGATTATTAAAGATTGTTGGCAAAACCTGACAGCAAATGGGCAGCAAAAAAGGAGCAAAGCTTGCTAATATAAGCACACATCATTTGGACATTCCAAACTCATCATGTTTAGTCATATATGTTAAAATTTGCTACATGACATTATATTGACGTCTTGATATAACATTATTTTGACGTCATATTTCAGTCATGAACTGATGATTATTTTATTATTAATATGATTAGTTAGTACATTGATCCCATAAAAAAATCTTTAAAAATTTTTTATATAACATGACTTTCGCGATCAGACTTTAACAATTTTTCTTTCGACACATGCGTTTATCTGTGCATGACTTATGTTGCTTAACTACTCAAGTGTTCATTAAATTAGTGCACATTAGTGCAGTGAAAATATTAGCTATAATCGAGTGTAAATAAAATGCCAAAAATATACACATTTTTTAATAATATAGTTAATTGGCAAAATATATTTTTATAAAACGCAGGCAACGGAAGATATTATTTGTTAAAATTTTATATGATATTAGAGGTAAGTTTTTTTATTTACGTTTAAATAAAATAATAATAACAAATATAAAACTTGTGACCTATTTTCTTACCGTATTTGCATTTTCCAGCGTTTTCGAATAAAGCAGTTTAATCGATCCGAGATTTTTCTGAAGAATAGAATGGCTATAATTGTTCAATGATGCTCTCGAATCGGTTAATCTGCTTTATTCGATAACGCTATTAAATACTAGGGATGGGAAAGTTACTTTTTAAAAGTAACTCGTTACCGTTACTCGTTACCGAGTAAAAATAAGTAACTCGTTACTGTTATTACCACCAAATAACAGTTATATAACTGTTAGTTATAATTTCCCACTCAACAATATAACTGTTACATAACAGATATGTTATATTGTTGAGTGGGAAATTACAACTAACAGTTATAAATGTTACTTGGTGTTTGCTGGGTAGTTACTTATTTTTAAAAGTAACTATCCAGGTAGCAAGTACACGTCATTTTGACGTTTCAAATTGGTCATTCACTGATTATTCTTGACGTCATGAATTGACGTTTTTAAGACGTAAAAGTGACGGTCTAATGTCACAGATTCTTGACGTCATGACATGTACCGCATTTTGACGTCATAAAATGTCCCATATTTTGACGTTCTTTTTCTTAGCAATAATATATTTAATATATTTCATAATAATATATTTAATAATAATATATTTAATATATTAATATGTATTTAATAATAATATATTAAATATATTAATATATATTTAATAATAATATATTTAATAGTGTTGTCGAATAAAGCATTGTCTAAAAGTGAATTAGTGCATTATCACTAAAAAACAGTAAATGATTAGTCACTGATTAGAGCAGTTATAAGTACACCACTCTAAATCAGTGATATTTTATTAAAAGAATCAGTTAATAATTTTGACTATTTCAATCAGTAATATCTCTTATTGATTTTATATTGAAATTTACTGGTTTTAGTGAATTTTACTTTAACAATTGTTAAAGTCTGATCGCGAAAGTCATGTTATATAAAAAATTTTAAAAGATTTTTTTATGTGATCGATGATATTAATAATAAAATAATCGTCACTTCATGACTGAAAAATGACGTCAAAATAATGTTATATCAAAACGTCAATATAAAGTCATGTAACAAATCAGTCATTTTGATGACATATGACCAAAAATGACCAGTTTGGAACGTCAAAATGTGCTTGCTACCTAGTAGTTACCGTTATCGTTATTTCAAAACGATTCGTTTTTTTTCTCGTTATTTTTAATGTTAAAACAAGATAGGATTAAATAAAAAATTTACTTTGGTAATATTTTTTTATTAAAATATTAATAAAAGCAACAAATTTTTTATTTACTAAATAATTATTTATAAAATAGTAAACGGTCAGAACTCTGCGTAAAAATATTTCTAAAGGATAGAACTTTTATAGAACTGTCCAAAATTGCCGTTAAAACTGGGGAAAATCATCAGCATGACACATTTTCACTAAGTGTCGTACTGGTCAAGAACACTAAAAATTCATAAAAAATTATTAATTTTTGGAATATCGATCTGAAATTGCATATATAGGTTATAGCAAAACTCGGGAAACTCGGGGAACTCTTAATAAAAGTAAGAATATTCAACACGGTTTGGTTCTTTAGGGGAAAGTGTGCTAGATTTGCGAAGTTAGCACGACATTTTTTCGATTTTTTAACATAAGGAATGCGAAACTTTTTTTAATTTTTATCAGGTACTATAGAACTATTAAAAGTGCTATCAGAACTCAGTATTTTTTTGAAATTCGTAGATTGTCGTGTCAGCTTCGCAGACACTTCTCAGAGTAATAAATTTCATCTGAAGTATTATTGAATTTTATATGAATGTCGGTCGATGACTAAAAATTGAATATGACATAAATACGATGTCATAAGTATTTTCAAAATATGAAAAGTAACGGTAAATGTAATTGTTCAATTCGTTATCGTTACTAAAAAAAAATGTTATTACGTTATTGTTACAATTACAGAAAAAAATGTAACGCCGTTACTAGTCCGTTACCAAAAAAAAGTAACTATAACGGTAACGTTAGAAGTAACGCGTTACTTCCCCCTGTTAAATACATTATTACGAAAAAGGCGTCAAAATATGGTACGTTTTATGACGTCAAAATGCGGCACATGTTATGACGTTAAGAATCTGTGACATTAGACCATCACTTTTACGTCATAAAAACGTCAATTCATGACGTCGAGAATAGTCAGTGAATGATTTGAAACGTCAAAATGACGTGTGCTTGCTATCTGGACAGATACAAGACAACAATCCAAATTGGAAAATTCGGAGCTACTATTTTATTTAAATTTTTTTGTTTTTACACGGATATTAAAATTAGTTAATCAAATCCTCTCTATAGTCTGTCTCTCTACAGACGGATCATTTCGCTGTTCTTCGATCCCGTCTGTCCTATCTTTTTTATTTTTTGCTATAGGTATTGAGTAGCTAATTTTAATATCATATAAAAACGGAAGCAAAGCTTAGAAAAAGGGGTTCAAGATTTGAATTGTTTTATATCTAATGGTGTACTACATGTATGTTTTTTCAGTTACATCTTGTATATTTTTTTCTTGAATTATATTACGTAGTATAAATGTGCGCGCTATATAATGTTTTAATATAACTATATTATCAATAAGAGAATATGTATGCTGGTTTATTAGAAAATTGAAGATATTATGAATATCCAAAAGTGAAGGTATATATAGTATTTATTTTCTTTGAAAAAAAATAAAACAAAAATATTAATATAAATATTTATATGGAATAGTAATATAAAATATTTTATATGAAATTTTTATATAAAATATTTATATTTATATATAATATTTATATGAAATTTAAATATAAATACAATAATAAAAAACATTTTCTGTCTAGCTAAACTAAAATAAAAAATAAACTAAAATAAATATTAAGTACACATACTAAGGTACCACATACTAAAAGCTAGAAACTAAATATTATATACTCATTGCAATTATTGTCAGAGTATTAATTTTGAAACATTTTTTGAAACAAACTTCATAAAACATCTTACGCATTGCATATTTAGTTAATTATAAATTGAAAAGAATTTAACTAATATAAACTAATTTAACTAATATAAACTAATTTAACTAATATAAACTATAATTTTTATAACTTTACTTCAACATTTTTTGATGTTAATTCAATCTTATATTATATATAAATTGATAAAGAATTCGGCTCTATGTATTTAATAACATGATAATTAAGAAACGAGCGATTAAGAGCCAAACACAGATGGTAATGCGTAAATTTCATAAACATTAATTGTTTGCGAAAATTTTAAACGTGCACAAGGCATTTATACATATATTTTACTTGGTGTATACAGAGTGTCCCAAAAGTCCCGGACCAATCGAATATTTCATAAACTATGCACTTTAAAAAGAAATGTTTCAGACAAAAGTTGTATGAAAGGCTTGAAGGGGGCCATCAGATAGTGGCAATGATTTGACCTTGGAGAGTCATTTGAAGGTGACGTAACCTTCAATTTCTTAAATGGAACTCCTTATTTTTATTACATATTCGTGTAGCTTATCTCGAGAGCTTTTCAAAACACAAAAAAAAAATATTTCTGCATTGAGTACTTTTCGAGTTATGAGGCTTGAAATCATTTCTTAATTTTGCGTCCGAGACTTTTGGGACACTCTGTATACCAAGATATAGATTCTCATGTTTTGAGAATTCTATAAAACCTCTCTTTACCCTCTTGAAGAGATGTAGACAAGAAAAATATCTTATATTATATCTTATCAACTATATATTCCTGACTGGATTATATGCAAAATTTTAAATTTTACTATATAATTTTGCCATATAATTTTTACTATTTATAAATTTGTGTCCTATTTAATATTGATAATAATAAAAAAATTGCAATCTAGATAATCTCAGATATTACAAAAATAAACGAATATTATATAAGAATTGATCTTTAATTTGCCTCAACGAATGTTCAAAGCAGCATTAAACTAATGATACTAAATACTTTATTTTATCGTAATTGAAGATTTAAGGAATCACAGTGTTAGAACAATTATTTGTATAACTGATTTTTTTCTATATATTTTCTATATATATTCATTAATCATGAGAATAATGAATGAGAATAATATAGATAGATTCATGTATATATGTATATCATTGAATTGGTCATTTCTAGCAATCCTACTTTGTTTAATTTTTTTTATCAAAATATGTATTCTAAAATAACTTTATTTTTTAAATCTTGAATATCCTGTAACTAACAAATATGTTATTTGGAATATTGATATATATGAAATATTTTTCAAAAAATTATCTCAAGATTTATTTTCCGAAATTTTACGCTCATTTTAGGAACATCCTAGGTACATATATATTCTGAATTAGTTGCTGTCGTTGCTAGATGCAAATGATGCGTGACACATCGCACGCGCGTGCCATATCGTTCTTAAAGCGCAGAATCGTAGAGAACGAGGCGTCAGTCGGCTGAACGGATAGTCGGTCAGTCAGCGAAGGAACACGAGAAACGATATTGCGTTGCTAAATATAATATAGTAAGGCACGCGGTTTCACTACCTACGGATATAACGGGCAGTATAATGGCGATAGCAATGATAATCGTTTGAGACATTCACATTGAACTCGTCGCCTTTATCAACGATAATCATTCATACGAATGTTATTATTGTGTCTCTTGTGAAAAGACTATGAAAAACGAGGTGATTAATTTGTTACGAAGAGCATATATAAATAAGGTATCTAATAATAAGTAAGATATCTAACAATATAATATAAGCTCGTAGAGTTGTGGGATTATTTTTGAAGCTTCTTCGCCAGGCTCAATCGATCGCGTAACATACAACATAACAGTCATATAACATCTACCAAAACGTAGGTACGAATTTTAAGATTTTTTAAAAATAAGATATATATATATATATATATATATAAATATATATATATATATGTATGTATATTTTTATACTATATATAAATGTGTATGTGCATATGTGTATATATATATAAAATATATATAATATAGAGAGGGGGGAGGGAGGGAGGGGGGAGAGAGAGAGAGAGAGAGAGAGAGAGAGAGAGAGAGAGAGAGAGAGAGAGAGAGAGAGAGAGAGAGAGAGAGAGAGAGAGAGAGAGAGAGAGGCCTTATTTGTTAAAGACGTTTTGTTTAAAAAATAAATAAATATTATATTAGCGTTATCTTGAACTGTAATTATACGAAAATTCTTATTATGTTTTACATTTCAGCTTTAAAAATAAAGTTTTAAGATTGAAAAAATATTGGTTCACAATTAATAATTATAATTGATTGTTTATGAATTTTGATAATTACTAGATTAAGAAAAATTTAATAAGCAATTTTATAATCTTAATATACATTTTTTAATTTTTTAACATAATTTTTTATTCTTTTTGTTTTTTTATAGTTCATATGTATTTAAATAAAAAATATTAATATTTAAAGATATTGAAAAAATAAAATATCTGCAAATTGATTAATTAATTTAATAAAACTAATCGGAATATCAAGGTTATCTTTATTTTTTTTAATGGCATGCTATACTTTTTTATCCTTAGTTCGATAGCGTATTTTGAGACGATTTCAATGATCTATAATTAAAGGTCATTCAAATGATATTCAGAAGAGTCTCGGATAAATAATGATTGTTAATAGAGATCCTCATAAGAGATGCTGAAAGTGACGTCCGTTTATATCTATGCAGTGCTGCAATCGTTTAATTCCTGAAACACGTACACTTCTCAATACTTCTTTTTTATGAGAAATACTAAAAAACATCGTGTACGAGGAAAGACCGATCAAGCCGGAAAATATGTAGCAACGAATTATGCAGCTTGTGCGAAAATCGGTTCGAAAGTATTGAGAAGTATATGTGTTTCAGGAATTAAACGATTGCAGCACTGCATCGATGCAAACGAACGTCACTTCCAGCACTTATGAGGTAACAATCATTATTTATCCGAAACTCATTCAAATATCAATTGAATGACCTTTAATTATAGGTCATTGAAATTGCCTCAAAAGACGCTATCGAATTAAGGATAAAAAAGTATAACATGCCATTAAAAAAAAAATGACCTTGATATCTCCGAAGCGCCTCCATCTGGACAAACATACTTATCGCCATATGATAGCCCCCCCTCATACCGTACAATTTTGGTTTCAAACAGTTTCTTCTACACCTTATAGATTCGAAGATATTTAGGGTGGTAATAGTTATTGCCCCACTCTGTATATGTATATATACAAATGTACATGTGTGTGTGTGTGTGTGTGTGTGTGTGTGTGTGTGTGTGTGTGTGTGTGTGTATGTGTGTGTGTGTACTTGAATTACATTTTGATAGTGACTTTTATATTTTTGACTCACTTATTTTTTTTAGATCTTTTTATTTTAATTTAATGTTTACTTGTTTACCAAGGAAGATCCATACAGAATCAAAACATTTAGTTAGTTGTATGTTTCCTAAGACAAATTTTATTAATTATCATGCATCTCCTACTGCATGCAGTCCTTATCTTTTTTTATAATTTATTGAATTAGATTTCTTAGACAAATTTAGATATTATAGTTATATATTCCTAAATTTTATTTTTAAACACTTTATTTATAGACTTTATTTAAAAAAAATTTTTTTCTTAATTTATACTTATGCTGTTTTAATTTTAATAATTTATACTTAATTTATATTTAGGCTGTTTTAATTTTAATAATTCTTTTTGCTATGTGTTTTATTGATATTATTAATAATATATAAACAATTATAATATTGATAAACAATTATAATTTCTTAGAAATTATAATAACAATGTCTTACAAAAAATTTCGTTCAAAACATTACATTATTTTGAAAATATTCTTTTAAACGAAAGATAATTTGTAAATAAAAAATAAGTTAAAATAATATAAATAAAAATTTTTTCAAAAAAAAGATGAAAAGAAGCATTAAATTCACGTCTGTTCAAAATATTTATATGTATAATGTATTTAACCATTTAATAAATTTTTATAAGAAATATTATTTTAACATATTGTTATGCCCGCGAAACGATATATATCGAACACGCACGATACCGATTGGCACTCGTAGACCGCGTTAAATAACAACACATTTTTTAAAACAATATGGAACATAATGAGAATACAGAATATACTCAAACAATGGATAATAACGTGAAACACGATAACGATTCATAAACGCGTCCTATCTTTTAACTTTCCGACAGTCATTGTTAATAACATCTTGACAACGCACGCGGAGACGATCTTCTTTCGTCGGTGTACTTTCCGCCGATGGGATACAACGGGTGGCAAATACATCCTCAGGGATGGGATACTGGGACGCAACAATATATTTTATTAGTTAAAGGACTCCGCACATTTTATAAGAATGGCTTTGGTTAGCTGAAATTGGCTGAAATTAAAATATGTTGTAGTTTAGGTGGTGCTGAAATTGAAATATGCTGCAGTTTAGGTGGCGCTGATCAAAAATTTCCTTAAACTTCAATATCACCCATTTAAAAATAAAAAATCATATCTTTTATACTTTTGATTTTTGAACTTTTTGTCCAAGAAAACTTTTAATCAGCACTATCTAAACTATAACATATTTCAATTTTAGCCAATTTAACCGAAGCCAATTTTTTCATATAAAATGTGCGAGGTCCTTCTTATTGTTTTTCCTATAAAAATTATATTAGTAGAGTGCATTAATTAAGAATAAAAATTATGCATTGAATATAGAATTTAAAAAAAGTTAATTGTTTTATTATTATATTTATTATTATTATTATTATTATTATTATTATTATTATTATTATTATTATTATTATTATTATTATATTATTATTATATTATATTATTATTATATTTAATATTAAAATTGTGTTTTATTTAAAAAAGTATAATTCTAGACTGTAAACATGATCATTTTGTCATAATTTGATGTCACAATGACTTCAAAATGACTTCAAAATGACACTATTTCTGCTATCTGGAGTATATATATGTATAGCAGAAATAGTGTCATTTTGAAGTCATTTTGAATATATTTATTTATTTATTTATTTTAATATAATTATAAAATTATAATAAGATATTTTCTAATGAAAAACTTATCAAAGTGTAATGTGTTAATAAATATGATTTAATTAAAGTAATTAAAGTAATTAAAGTAATTGAAAGTAATTAGAAGTAAGAGTTTTAATGCAAAAAAATTGTATGTAGAATTAACACATTTTAATTTTAATTTTAATATTTTAAAGTAAAGATGCAAGAAATAAAAATCTTGGTATAAGAGCCGAAGTGCGGGAAGTGATTGTAAAAATCTGATATATTAAAGTATACATATGCGTCATATGTACATATTGCGTCCGCGTATTGATATCGATAACTTGAACGCGCGAACATTCGTCACTTTATTATTCATACACTCGTAAATAAGAACACGCTTTTTCATAACTGCCTTTTACGATATGTCTTCGAGACAAATTCACTTATTTTTTTATTATCCGAAAGTCTGAAATTATATCATACAAAGAGGATAATTATTTGGACATGTCGTATGATTTACAAACGTACAACATCGATATTCACATCCTGGCCTACAAATTGACAATGGACTTATTAGTTGAATTTAATCATAAAAGCGTTTGCACATATAAGGATTTTAGTCGTAACCATAAGGTCGTAAGAAAAACTGACAAATCATAATCGAGTATTCTCCTCCTAGACAGCACAAAAAGGCCAAAAGATGTCTTAAAGATGTCTAAAGGACTTTAAAATGTCTTTAACCCAGACAGCACACAGATATCCATAAAATATTCTACAAATATCCTTGAAGGACATTGAAAATATCCATAAAATGTCCGTTTTATGTCCCTCAAATATACACTGGATATCCATAGCACATTCAACTATGAAATTGGTGGTCATAATTTAATCCCTGACGTGTCCAAAAGACATCCGATGGATGACTAATGGACATAAATTAGCAACAACAGATACACAAAACGGACTTTATATGGACGTAATAAGGAGATGAAAAAGCGATTACATACAAAATTTGAATGTACATATTAAAAAGATGAAATATATATTTTTTTAAGCAATACATTTATTAAAGAAAATTTATATCACATACAGGGTGATTCATTTTAATCGCCCCAGGCGGATATTTCAAATGCTGTTGAGTTTAGAGAAAAATGTTTCAGACAAAAGTTGTATGGTTTCAAGGGGGACATAAGATGGTACCATTGGTTTGACCTTGAAGAATTATTTGAAGGTCACATGAAGGTCACCTTCAATTTCTTAAATGGAACCTACATTTTCTCTTTACATATTCTTGTAGCTTATCTCGAGAGCTTTCCAAAACACTATAATTAAGTACCTTTTCGTTAAGTACTTTTTGAGTTATAAGGCTTGAAATCATTTCTTAATTTTACATAAATCATAAAATATCTAGTAAAATATACATTTTTCGATTATCTTACCTTAATACTTTTATGTACAAAATAATGAGAGGAATCAATTGGTGTAAAGAAAACACATAGTTGTTTCTAAGAAAAAATATGTAATTTGCAATTAACAATTACATATTTTTTCTTAAAAACAACTGTATGTTTTCTTTACTCCAATTGATTCCTCTCATTATTTTGTACATAAAAGTATTAAGGTAAGATAATCGAAAAATGTATATTTTACTAGATATTTTATGATTTATGTAAAATTAAGAAATGATTTCAAGCCTTATAACTCAAAAAGTACTTAACGAAAAGGTACTTAATTATAGTGTTTTGGAAAGCTCTCGAGATAAGCTACAAGAATATGTAAAGAGAAAATGTAGGTTCCATTTAAGAAATTGAAGGTGACCTTCATGTGACCTTCAAATAATTCTTCAAGGTCAAACCAATGGTACCATCTTATGTCCCCCTTGAAACCATACAACTTTTGTCTGAAACATTTTTCTCTAAACTCAACAGCATTTGAAATATCCGCCTGGGGCGATTAAAATGAATGTATACATTAATGCAATATCACATATTATTTAAATGTTACTTTTTTTGCACAAAACGATTATAAAACAGATAATTTAAAAAAAAAAGTGTATTATATGTGAAAAAAGAACAACCTTTATGATCTAAACATATCATAATTTTTAAACAAAACATATATATTTCAATCCCTAAATAATAATATAATTTATCTATTTCATGTAAAATTTTACATAAAAATTTTATATAAAAATTTTATTTATAATTTATACTTGCATATTGCACTTTACATCTTAAATAGATAATGAAAAATTATTTTCGTTTATTCGCCGAACATTTACTTGTCCGACTTATAAAATCAATTTAATATCTGAAACCCGTGCTTTTAGATCAGAAATTAAATTGAACAATACATTTTTAATTTTATTTGTTACCTTTTGCAAACTTTATATAATTCTCATAACTGAAACTTAAATACGAGAAAGATAGCGCATCGCGTAGCGGTAAACGAACGAATTAATACATGCTTGCGTGCTCGCGAGAAACTTTGACCTCCAAGACATCTTGTGGACGTCCAAATATTGACCAAATAGATGTCTTAAATCGGATCGTCGATGGACATTTATTTTATGTCCATGGACGTGCGGACGTCAAATGGACATAAAATGAATGTTCATAGAATGTCCTATGCTGTCTGGGAAGTAGTCTTTTAGACGTCTTTTGGACATGTGTGCTGTCTGGGCTTACGAATAAGAATAATCAACTGTGATTGGTCAGTTTTTTATGATCTTACGATTATGATTAAAAATTTGTAACATGCAAAGGTCTTAAGTGAATGTAGATCATCGTAAGTGCAAATCCAATTTTACACTACATATTTATTTAAATTTACATCTATTTATTATTTGATTTACGAATGATCTACATAATTTAACTATGATTGTTTTTGTTTTTAATTTCGAGCATTAAAATTTGTTTATGTATAATATTTATGCTTATGTATAATATTTATTGCTAGAGATCCTTATTGTATTATATTTTGTGTTGTTTTCATCATTTCTAACCGTTGATCGAATATCGATTTCAATATTTTTGCGTTAAAGATGAACTAAAGAAAGATCCGAAACTTATAAGTCTGTTAACTTATAATTTATCAATAAAAAAATTTTTTTTTGCGTATGAATTATCGTGTGTGACTCTTATAGCCTGTTATTATAGTTTTTAGTTTAATATTTTTTAATTTGATATTTAAGAGATTTTATATCGAGAATTAATATAATGATTAATATAAATTAATGTTGATTCCCTTATTAAATATCTCCAGTCAGCACTAAGTCATCTACAAGATAATTAAAAAACAATATATTTTCTTTAAAGATATCTTTTAGTACGTAGTCAACGTACAGTATATATATATATATATATATATATATATATATATATATATATATATTGAATATACATTGAATGTATAGAATATATTCAATGAAACAATGACTAACAACCGGCATATTTGATTAAAAGTCATTTTAATTTGACTATTTATAACCTAATTTAAAACATTTTTTATCATTTTAATTATATATATTGAGACATTAGAATCCAATAAATAATTATATTAATATTAGTTAAATATAATAAAATTGAATATTATAAATAATATAATATAAAATTGAATATTACAAATAATATTGCATATTATTAGTAGATTTTAATTTCATATTTTCGTATGTTTATACAATTTCTATCTGAATAAGTAAAAATCGAACACTTATCTATCCGATTTTCCAAAAATCAGCTTATTATTTGAATACATATGGAGATTTACATTAGAAATTAAATAAAAATTAATTACAATCTTATTAGCCGCAATTTTGCAGATTTTAACTTTTTATATATTTTAAATTTAAAATTTTTATATAATTCTCATGATGAGGAAAAAAAATTTATATAGTAAATTTATATAGTTCTGATGATAAAAATTTAATTATGATATATATAACGCGTACAACGCGTCGCATAGCGATAAACAAATATACATTTTTGTTCAGCCAAAAAGACATTTTGTTCATTTTGTTAAAAGAAAAACATTTATAAAAAGATGACGAAGATGACGAAGATGACGTTTTTTTAAATTTAGGTTGTCTTTTCAGTAAAACAAAAAATTATACATTTTATTTCTATACATTTTTTAGACATTTTTTCGCTTTACCGAAAAGACAATCTGAAAAAAGATCTTTTCACTTTGTGTTGTCTAGAAAGATTTCTGGGAATAGAAGTCTAAAAGTGCTTTTTTTCTACGAATTTCATATTAAATGAGATCATATTCAATGCGCAAAAAATCTTTCTGAGAATAACACTATACCGTTCTGGATTTTTTATCGGAATAGTTCCGTTTATAAGGCATAAAACGAAAATATAGATATCTTTCTGATACAATCGAGACTCAAACAATCGAATAAATCTATTAAAAACGATTCAGCCGTTATTGAGAATTAAAATCTAAGATATTTACAACTAGGCGGTTTGCAAATAAATACACAGTCCATTTTTCTCTATTGTTGTACGTATGATTTGGCGCAAGATGATACTGTATCTGATTTTTTAAATTGTTTAACATTAATTTAAAATCGCTTGCTCATGTGCCTTGGTTTTCAATTTTACGACTATAGACACACACACACACGCGCGCGCGCGTGCGTGCGTGCGTGTATATGTATACAGGATGGGGACAGTCAGAATTTCGAAATATCTCGAAAAATATAAGTTTTATAGAAAATTGTTTTAGATAATAGTTGTTGATAATAGTTGTTTTAGATAATAGTTGAAAGTTACTTAATGAAAAAATGTTGAATTATAGTGTTTTGGAAAGCTCTCGACCTCAGCTATAAGAATATGTAATAAAAAATAGGGCTTGCCTTTTATTTAAGATTTTGATGGTGACCTTGACCGCGCTTTTCCAGATTATTTCAAGGTCAAATACTATCAGCTAATAGATTTTTTAAAGCCATTTTTTATGTCTAAATTTTTTCAAAAAAATTAATATTTTCTGAGATATTTAGCCGTTTCGGAACTTTTGCCCTATCCTGTATGTACTCGTATATGAGAGGAAAGATGTATGTTGTGTACAGTTTTATATGTATTATACAAACTCATGCGCTTCTTTAAAAAAATTTAAAAATTATACGAATATATACACAAATATAATATTTGTGTAACAGATATGAGTGTCCAGAAGTCTGAAGATCTCTTAACAGTAGTTATATCAACTGAACTTTCACCGTCTCCGAATTCACAAGAATTATTTATAAATCAAGAGCAACAGGTATGTTTATTAATCTTTTATGTGTCTTATGTTTATTTATCTGAACTTTTACAACTAATATAATTTGTATATGATGATGATGGTACAAATTTTTCGATAAATTTAGAAATTATTTTTTCTTGATAAAAGTTTGATTTAATTCTTTATTAATTTGATATAATTATCATAGGCGTTTCACGTTAAATATACATAATATTTAAAAAAATGAAATAATAAAGTATTCAATAAAATGCAATAATAATTGCATGTATAAGACATTGATACAAAAGATGTGTTCAATGATTTATAAAAATTATAGAATATTATAGAGAAAAATAAATGGCAAATTTTATAAATTTTTTGCACCAAGTATTATATGTATTTATTTTTAAGGATGAAGAAGCATCTGATTGTCCTTTATTAACACCTAGTCCACCACCTATCCAAACGGATAAAACTCCACAGTTGACGCCAATATTCAATGTTCTGGAAGGTGCTTCTTTAGAGATGATATCCACACCAACGCTTGAGAATATTAATACGGAAGATGGACTTAACTTCATGAATATAGTGAATAGTTCGAGTAAACCTTTAAATGATGGTATGTTTTTTCAACTATTTTAATGTATGCACATTCTCTTTTTCTTAACATATTTATCTCATTGTCAGAATCTACAATACTGTTACTTATATATATATTTATCATACACTATTTATACATATGCTTCTTCTTATTTTTCTCATTCCTTTATATTTTTCTTTTTTATTATCTTGAGGAAAAACCATATATATTGTTAATTAGTGTAGTTAAATTATAAAATTTGAAGAAATTTGGGAAAAATTGACCATTTTATATAATCACATGTAAAATTAATATAAGAGTACATTTTTCTTCATATTCCACATTTTAAAAAAAAAGTACAAAAATTAATTTTTAATTATTCTTATTATTTTTTTACAAATACAAACATTATATAAGATGTGCAAGAGAAAGAAAACATATGAATATATTTTATAATTATATATATATGAAGAGAGAGCATTCGAGGAAAAAATCTATATATAATCAAATATGTATATATATATACAGAGATAAAGATTAGATTTGGTAAAGAATGGACCAACGCTCGTAAGCAAATAGAGTGTAATAAAACTGTACAGAAAATTCCTTCTATCTTGTAATTTTCACAGTAATTATTGAAATATTAAAAAGAATTGACAAATGAGCGTGTGTTTCACGTAACTAGATCATGTGATGTGTGCTCTAGACGTACTAATAGCGAATATTGCGCGGCAACGAAAAGATAAAAAATACATAGCTGCTCGTTGCAAATTCATATTTTTTCTTAAGAGCAATTATGTTTTTTCTTTATACTAATTGATTCTCCTCATTATTTTATACATAAAATATTCAAGAAAAATAATTGAAAAATGAATATTTCATAGTTTATGTAAAGTTATGTCATTATAGTATAAAGTATAAAATCATAAAGTATAAAAGTATAAGCATAAGTCATAAAGTATAAAATATTTTATAAACTATTCAATTTTTGACTATTCTATTTTTATATGTCAAATATTGCGAGGAACTGATTTATATAAAAAATTAGGATATATATATGGATTATATTCATTTAAAAAAAATTAGATTGATCTTCACATAACCTTAGTATCTACATTTAAGATCAAATTATATTATAATTTCCCTATCTTTTTTCGAGCCAATTTGATCTAAAATCTTTTTTTACATTTTTCATATTTTTCATATTTTTCCAGATAATCGATTTCGATATCATTTAAAATAAAATTATATATATATATATATATATATATATATATATATATATATATACACTACTCAAAAAAAAAATAAGGAATACTTTTTGAACCCTAAAAATTGGGCTATTTTCAAACCGCTAAAACTCGTTGAAAATCATCGTAGACAAAAAATTAAAAAAGTATTTTAAAGTTTGAAGTTTTAACTTTAACATATAGTTGGTGGTTTAAAAAAATTTTTTTATCTTTCTTATTCTGCGCTTTAAAAAAAAACACACTGTTTAGTTCTTCAAAATTATGTTTTAAAATTTTGTTTAAAATTATGCTTTTTAAATTTATATTTTTAACACGCTGAAATTTGTTAAAAAAAATTTTCTCGATAAATTCAACTTAAATTCCACAGATTACAACATTTTGCCTACAAAACGCTTTTCTTAAAATTTTCCTACGATTTTTTTTTGACCGAGTTATACGATTTTGAAAATAAACCAGTACTTTTTAGATATGATGTCGATAGTCGGCAAAAAATCATCATAAACAAAAAATAAAAAAAGCATTTTTAAGCTTGAAATTTTAACTTTAACGTGCTATCATTAGTTTTTTCAAGTTTTTTATCTTCCTTGTTCTGTGCTTTAAAAAAGAACAGTATTTTATTCCTTAAAATTATGTATTTTTGACACTCTGCAATTCGCTAAAAAACTTTTCTCGAAAACATTCACCTTAAATTACATAAATTACAACATTTTGCCTACGCAACGCTTTTTTTAAAATTTTCTTACGATTTTTTTTTTGATCGAGTTACATGACTTTGAAACCAATCTCCACGATTTTCACAATAATGAATTAAAGAAGAAAGATTAATTAAAAAGATCGATCATTTCCTGTGAATACATATATATAATAAGGATATATTGCTAGTCCCCATAAGTGGAGAGATAATTGATAAAGTGAGACAGAAGAAATTGGCCGTTGTGTACAGACGATACTATTGTGGATATAAAAAAGTAGGATAACAAGATGAATTGAAAATTGATGCATGAGCATCGTAAAGTTTTCAGTCAAACAAAGAAAGAATCGTTTGCATCGTGATATTTTCGGCCTTCTCTCGAGTTCAACATATTTATTACGTATATATACGAATATTAGCGCGCACTGAAAAAAAACAGCTCGTTTTCACGTTGTTACTAAATACGTTAGTGCTTGAGAAACGTTATATCCAATTTATACGTAGTTGTTATTTGTTAGAGTGCTCCTCCCAACGCTTTATCATGTGCCTAGTAACAGTAGAAAATCTTTCTCCGCCATGCGCTAATACTCATGTAAATGGTATCCCCAAAAACTTACCTTTTTAAAAAAAGGTAAAAAAAGGGCGCCAAGTTCATGCACTAATTGTATCCAACTGTCATATTGTCTACAAAAATAGTGATATAAAAAAATTGCGCCAACTAAGAATAAAAATTTGTACAAGATAAATAGAAGTACAAGGAAGAAAACTTGTACAAGTTAAATAGAAATATTTTAATTGAAAACATTGTTATACAAAATAGTTGCTTTAATTTTCAAAAATAATAATATTAAAAAATTAAAAATTTATTTAAAAATTGGAAACTGAAAATTAATATAAAACAAGAAAGTAAAAAAATTTTAATTAAAAAAACTTATGTGTTGTGTACATGTGCGTTGATGACCATGATGATAAAGACGTTTCTTAATTGAAAATTTTCATATTTCGACTTTGCATTATGATATCTCCGTTTATAGATCACGCAGCGCAAAAATAAAGATACTTTCTTTATACAATTCAAACTCGCTCTATCGATTAAAGCTAGTAAGAATTCGATCCGTTCAGCCGTTATTGAAATCCGATAATTTGAGTTACTCTCAACTGTCGCGTATAGATACACGGAGTGCCGCGCAATGCTTCGCATGAACTTGGCGCGAGACACTACGTGTCTCTTGATTTTTTAAATTAATTTTTTCATGTTTTAAATTAAATTCTCTTAATTAAAATGTAAAAATTGTAAAGTGATAGAGAACTTTATTGTTTAAACTCCATTTAATCTACTCTTGTGCACATGAGATGTAATACGATTATTATTGGGCAACTTGTATATATTTGATTATATATAGATTTTTTCCCGAGTATTCTCTTTTTTTTTATTATTGGATTATATATATTTAGCTATGTTTTTTATAAACATTTACTTAATATTTATACAATTCAAATTATACTGTTAATATGCTTATAATTATATTCATTACATTAAAATGTACATATATCTTTATATATATGAAGAAATAAATAAGGGAATATGAATATATTTGAACAATCTACCATATGAGCATTATTATGAATAGTTTTCCAAAGGTTTTTGCCAAAGTACATTTATCACAAAGCTATTCACAAATAAAAGTCAATATAAAGTAAACTTCGAATGTAAATTGTTAATATGAAAAATTAATATTAAACATAATTTATATGAATATTTCATTAAAAAATTGAATATGAAACAATTTTTATGTCAATCTTAAAATTGACCTTGAAAGTAACTGTGATGAAATAATGAACTTCAGCAGAGGCACTTTTAGAAAAAACGTTTGATACAAAAATTTCTTTTCACGTACAATTATTTTTTCACGTACAATTAGAATCTGTAATAAAAAATTACCATGTTCACCTAAAAAAATTCAACTTCCGATCCAGATGGCGTATTTCTGATCGGAATCAAAAATTGAAAATATCATCATTTGATAGAGCGTACCCGATTTACTTAAAAATTGTTCGCGATTTTTGATAAAAGCCATTTATTTTATTTTAAAAGGTGTGTATGGGTGTGTGTGTATATATATATATATATATATATATATATATATATATATATATATGGGGGATCCCCGATCACCCATATACACCTTTTAAAATTAACACACACACACACACACACACACGCGCGCGCGCGTGTCTGTATGCATGTATATATTCTTAAAAAATATTCTAAAAAAATTAATATTGTATACACATTCATATTTTTGTGTCATTGAAACTTTTTTCTCTTTAGGTATATACTTATTAAATAGCAAATACATTTTTCAACTGAAGAATTTATATAATTGTTGTTATATAATGTCGATGCTTGTTTAGTAAAGTACTTTGATAGGATTCAATTTCAATTTAAGCGATGATTAATTCTGACGGTGACTACATGCGTCATTCAAGCTTTACATGCTCAGTGTTACAGTTGTTTAACTCAAAAGAATATAATATCCTACGTTTCATCTATTTCATATAAAATATTTTGCATTTTTCTTTTACTTTAAGATTATTGCATTCAAGCAGAACTATCTAAAATTTAGTCTTACAAAAAAAACAAGCAAATGTAAATATTTATATAAAAATAATTGAAAGTAGGAGAAAAAAATGTGAGATAGTTATTTTGATTTTCTACTTAAATATAGAGGATTATTTAATTTTCAATATTAATGTTCTATAGAATATTATATATATATATATATATATATATATATTACTCTTAATGTGATAATTAATTAAATTAGAAATTTATATTGGTGTGTATGTGTGTGTGTGTGTGCGTATACGTCTGCGTGTGTGTGTATATGTAATAAAATAAGATACCTTTCCATTTGTATTATACATATATGTAATTAAATGTTAAATTATATTTTGATTACTTTTTGGCAAAATGACAAGTTTCTTTAAAAAAATTTGTACTATCAATTTATATTATGTAGAAATATTTTTATAGTCTCTAATTATTAGTATAGTCTAATATTATTTTTAAAATCCAATTAAATAATTAATTATTCTTACTAAGTATTATGTTCAATATTATAGAACCGAGTTCACGTGATCCCATGGTGGAATCCACTAGCAGCGGTAGCAGTAGTGATACAAACGAACCCGTTTGCGCACAATTGTTAACACAATTAAATACTGCCTATCAACATCTTGCACCGGATGCTCAAGCTTTAGTAAGTATTACAAAAATAGAATTTGGTATTTTTCATAAATTTTTCGGTCTATAGATAACAAAAATTTGTAAAGAAAAAATTACAGGCCTGCGAATCAGTTAGTTAAAATAGCAGTGTAGGTGAATCTGATAGATTTGTTGATAGTAAAAACGAATTTGGCCACAGAATTTCCTCAGTACATCAGGTTTCCGAGTAACTTATAATTAAATAGTCCATAAATGGCAATTTTGACAAATTTCATGAATTTATTATAAAAAAACCTAATTTTTTGAAATATTTCTACCAATTGTATAGTATTAATCTTCACTTTTCAAAACCATTTTTGATTGCCGCTGCACGATTTTTTTCGCTGAAATGCAAGCATGAAGTTATAAAAAAATTTACGTTAAAGAAAATTTATTCATAGGCATCAATATGGCATATCTTAAAAGGATCCCATACATTTTATATGAAAAAAAGTGGCTTCGGTCAAATTGGCTGAAATTGAAATATGTTGTAGTGGTGTTGATCAAAAGATTCCTGAGACAAAAAGTCCAAAAATCAAAAGTATAAAAGATTGATGATTTAAAGTGGGTAGTATTGAAGTTTAAAAAACGTCTATTTTTGAATATATAGATTAAATTAATACATAAATGTTGAAAGAAAATATTTATATATAATGTGTGTCACTCTTCTACAATATTTAATAATTCCAAATTCTTTCTATTATATGTATATGCGTGCATGTGTATGTGTGCGCGCGCTGTACCTGATCTCTGTGTAATAGACACGTTTGACAAAAAGAGTTTAGAACTATTAAATATTAAAAAGAGTGAGACACATTATATATAAATATATTTTTCCAAATATTTATATATTAATTTAATCTCTGTATTCAAAAACAGACTTTTTTTTAAATTTCAATATCACCTACTTCAAATCATCGTATCTTTTATGCTTTTGATTTTTGGACTTTCTGCCTCATGAGACTTTTGATCAGCACTATCTAAACTACAACATATTTCAATTTCAACCAATTTGATCGAAGCCACTTTTTTATATAAAATATATGATGTCCTTTGAAAAGACTTACATATGTCAGATTCGAGTGTCTAAAAAAGAAAAATGTGAAAATATATCTAAAATATTATAAAATGGGAAAATATATCTAACACAGTTGTTATATATTTTGATAAATTTTTCTAAATTTTAACTTAATTTAAACTTTTTTATTGTGATTTTGTCCGCCATATTGGATCCGCCATTTTTAATTTAAAAAAATGGCATGCAACGTACAAAAATTTATGTTTTTATCCAAATTTTAATTCATGATAAAACAAAGAGGTAACACGATTGAATTGGAATGGCTTATTGGACTATGCATCAGTATATCACTATGCATGACCAATCATATAACTTTATAACTCAGCGAAAAAAATCATGTGTCAGCAATCGAAATTGGATTTGAAGGTGAATATTAATACTATACGATGCCATTGGTAAAAAAATTAGGTTCAAAAAATTAGATTCCCTCATAATAAATTCATAATTGCCAAAATAGAAATTTGGACTATTTAACCACACATTACTCAAAAATCTGATGTGCTGGAGAAATTTTGCAACTAGATTCGTTTTCAGCGTCAAAAAATCTATCAGATTCACCTATTCTGCTTTTTTAACTAACCAAACTTAAAATTTTGCAGACTTGTGTTATTTAGACAAGAGAATGTTGTTTTACATAAGGAGTAATAAAAATGATTAAAAAATGTATTATTATCTAAAAATTAGACAGTTCTATCTCCATTTTCTTATTTTTAATAAATAAATTAGAAAAATATTTATATTATTAATGTTTTAATTTCTAGAAGTAAATTAAAAATAAATAAAAAAATACAATTAAATAAAAAAATTATACTTTGCATTTTCGACATTTTTTATAGAATTATTCACTTGTTGATTGTAACAACACTATTTTATTTTATGTATATGTATATATGCCTGTTGTGCTTAACATATTAAATGTTTATTATTGCAAGATTCATGAATTTCGTCTCTGTTATTCACGGAAGCGAAGAATATATCAATGTTCTTTCATGCATTACATCTATTACATTCGCCTGGCACAGATGAGGAATACTTTATCAAATGTATCACTCGTGAACAATACCGTATTGTGATTGCATTTACAAAGCTACAATTGCAATATGTTTCTTCACACCTAATTAAATTGTTATCTTGAATATTGATTTGTCATTTCAGTTGCTTATATGCATATAATCTCAATATAAATAAAATATGACTAGGGTGACCATGTAAAACTAAGCAATTAAATCATAGATAAAAGTAAGACACATTAATTCTTGTTCTGTTAATATTAATTTTAAATAAATTATGATTACAAAGGGAAAGTGTAACTATTATTGCGAGTGTATATAGTCTAGAACAATAAAATTGAAACTTTTAATAAATATATAATAAATATATAATATAAATGACATATATATATATATATATATATATATATATATATATAAAAGATATATGTACATATATTTAATTTCTAAATTATGAAGTGTAAATATAAAAAAAATTAGAATAAAAATTTAAAGAAGAAGATCTACAAAGATCCTGAAGATTTTTCATGAAAAAACATAAAGAATTGGAATTTCTGGTCACCTTAGGATTGACTTCATCATCGCATTGTCACTCGCTTAGAACAGATACAGATATGTTTGCAGATCCGCCCTCTCTTTTGCCTTTTTCGATTTTATATGCTCTGCTGTCTCGCATTGTAATTGAAATGAATCCGATAAACGGGCAAGAGGATTCTGATTTCTCCTCAATGGTTTCATGGATGTGTATACTAATTCATCGCTTGCTGCTTGCTAACATCGCCATATGTACTCATGCTGTAACTGTTTAGTTTTACAACCAGGACAACGGTGGTAAGCCACCACTCGTTGGGATTCAATTGGTGGTGCCGAAGCCGCCCAAAGACTATCATTTTATGAAATGGAATTGGTCGCTGATACGGAAGACATGCTATTGGACACTGATGTCGATATTGATTGGATGCACTGCTCTTGTTGTTGGCATAATTGCTACAATGCCTAAGAAGTATGTATAAAATATATAAAATAAAATATATATATATTAAAATATATATATATATATATATATATATAAAATAAAAAAAAAAAAAAAATATATATATATATATATATATATATATATATATATAATATATATTTTAAAATCTACAATGTACTTGATTTAAGTATATACATTCAATTTTATGTATTAAATGTATTAAATAGATATGTATTAAATAGAGCTATAAAAATATATACTACAAATCAAAGTTATTTTGTTTAAAAAGATTTATATGAATTAATAAATAAAACAAAAGATTTTAATTAATTTTTTTAAATTGTTATCTATGACATTTTTATTTTTTTAAATGAAATAGTATCTATTTTATTACAATTTTGTAAGATATTTTTTGACAAATTCGATAATGTGTAATAAAATAAGATTTTTCAATAGCTGTTTATAAGATATTGCCACCTGTGTTGTTTCTGAATATAAGCGAAAAAATAAAGTAAGTTTAGAAAATAAACAAATTCTATTATTATTATTATTTAAACCAGCACTATTATTTAAAAAAGTAATTGAATATATGTATTTAAACAAAACGTATGATACACAGATTACATAATTACTAAATACTTAGTATATAAACTACATTATCTAAATATTTTAAATTATTTTTCATGAATTATAATTTTATTATTTATAATTTGTAGTTATAAATTGATTGCGCAGATCCTGCTTGATTTCTGCTGCCAATCTGTTATGATAATTCTGTACCAATCCTGCTCGATTTCTGGCTAGTGTCCTGCTATCAAATTATGTCTTTTATAACATGCCTTTTATTCTGTTAACATTCTGCTATTATTATCTAACATGGCAGGTTTTGCATACAATCTGCAGTCTTTTTGCTAACAATAATTTGTAGCAGGCATTTGGCAAAATCTGTTAGATCAAATTTGGCTGATTGTCATTGAGAAGATGACTAATAGATGGTATATGTCTTAAAAATCATCTTATAGGCTGACGACTAAAAGATAATTAATTTAAGACATTTTTTTAGTAGTTCTAATTATATTAAGGGTTAGAATCCTATAAATATTGTTATATTAATGCTTATTAATATACATATAAGTATAATAAGATTGAGTATTACAAATAATATTACGTATTATGGGTAGATTAATAATTTCATACTTTCACATGTTCATACAAACTCTATCTGAATGAGTAAAAATCGATCTTACCTATTCGATTTTCTAAAAAATCAGTTAACTATTTAAATTTCGTTTTTGTATATGGAGATTACATGAGAAATTAAACTAATAGAAATAATTATAACCTTATCAGCCGCATTTTGCAAGTTTTATATACATATAGTTCTCACGATTAAAATTTAAATATGAGATAAATAATTCACAACTTGTCGCATATAGCAATAAGCAAACCTTTTGTTGAATCAAAAAGACATTTTTAGTCATCTTTTTGTTTTACCATAAAAAGATGATGCAAAGATATCTTTTCCGTTTTTTCGGTAAAGCGAAAAATCTATTATGACATCTATTTAGACATCTTTTCGCTTTGTCAAAAAGACAATTAAAAAAAAAGACATCTTTTCGTCATCATCTTTTAGCTTTTTTTGCGCGGTGTCCGAAGTATTAATCCATGTGAAGTATATTTATTTCGTGTAATAGTTATATTTTACTGTACAAAAATTGTATTTTAAAAATAGAAATTTACTTATCGAGACTTAAACTAACAATATTGACGCTACGAATCTAACACGCTGTCAACATTCTTCGATCAAACTTTTTTGCTCATTTATTCATAAGTGTTTGGGATTTTTTAGTTTTGATCTATCTTGTAAATGTTTGAGAAACGCATCTTATCTCTTACCCAATATTACTTGACGTAAAAATCTATTGTTAACGAGTTTTGTTGAAATCGATTGGGACGTGAAGTCTCTTGTCTGTGTGTTTTAACGCGTGGAAGAAATGCAATGTACTCTTTCGCGGTTTATTCTTATGGAGGTTTTAATGTAGATAAACTTATAGATGAGATTTAAGAATCTGCATGGTTTAATTATCTGTTTAGGTAATTTTAAAAATATATGTGATTATATTTAAGTAGATAAAAAATAAATACACGGACTAATATCAGAAAAAATAGTATTTTATTTTTTCAATTAATACGTTTGGTGAAATAAAAAATAATATAATAAAATTATTGATATAATGAAAATCTAATGTGATAAGAAAATCACTATTTTTAACTATTTATTATAGATGTGATCCTCCGGTGGAATGGTGGCAAGGCAGCACTTTCTATGAGATATTCCCGGCGTCCTTTCAGGATACTGCATCATTCAGAACAACCAAAGGAGTTGGAATCGGCGATTTGCGTGGAATAATTATGCGGCTAGATTATTTAAAAGAACTTGGAGTGCGAACTATTCGATTGAATTCAATATTTCCAGCGTTAGATTATCCAGAATATTACTCAAAAATCAGTAATATAACAGACGTGAATGAAAACCTGGGAACACTAGAAGATTTTTCTGCTCTTGTGCGCGAGATTCAAAAGCGAAACATGAGTATAGTTTTGGATTTACCTTTATATCCGTTTGTAAAGAGCTTGAGCAATCAAGCGACGCCTATAGCGAAAGTAAATGGCACTGAATTGATTCGAGATAGGCGAGATGCCGCAAAGAATCGAATAATAATTCCCCAACTATCAATACTGTCTTCATCAGTCGAAACTATTCGTGATGTCTTATCATTCAGACCATCATCTTTAAAAAAGGCGAGAAGAGAAATATCCTCATCGAATCATTCAAATCAACAAAAAGATCCCATTAGTGAGGCTATCAAATTTTGGCAGTTGAAAGGAGTGAACGGTTTCTATCTACAGGGATTGGAACATTATGTTAATGAAGACACATTCGTGAGCAGTCTCATATATTGGAAGTCTCTTCTATATCCAAACAATATTTTTATTTGTCATATGAAAGTCCTAAAGAATATTTCCATAGCTACAAGGAATTCCATCCTATCCAGAATAAATTTACTTGATGTGACTCTTCATTTAACGAATAGTACAAAAGATATTAAGTCACAAATAGAACAAGTCACGAAGGGTATAGTCTTCGACAAACCTGCTTATCCATGGATACATTGGTCTGTAGGCGGTGTAGACACTAGTAGAGTAGCTTCTACTATAAATGTCAAGAATGCTAGCGTGGCAGCTTCTCTTCTTAGCATGATGCTACCTGGAACACCTAGTATATTTTATGGAGATGAGGTATGCATCGTGATTGAAGTGATTTAAAATTTAGACAATTTAGATCTACGTGTATTAAAAACTAGAAAAATCTACGTTTACATTAATATTTTGTTTTGTTTTTTATTTTATATTCACATTTCTAGCAGCATTACCAATTGAAAATGGTATATTATTGTATATTTTTTATATATATATCTAAAAAATACAGATATATAATTACAAGTACAAGATGCAATTTGATATTTCAATAAATATAATTTTTAAGGGATTTAATAGGAAGAAATCATTATAAGAAAAAATAATTGTATTATGTCCTTTATTTACTTAGATAGGAATCGAAGATTGTGAATGTCAGGATCACAAAGATTTGGTGCACGTGCATAATTTAGTTCCTATGTATTGGGAAAAGAAGGATAGTCCTGGTAGCAGTTTTTCATTCTCAGAAATCCCTACCTGGTTGCCAGAAGCTGGAAAACCTATGGAAACTAGTTTGACAGGCACTATTAAAGAAATGACAAGATTAAGAGCGGAAACTACACCAATTTATGTTAAATCAGTATTAAGAGAAGGTCAAATTAAGGCGAATTGTGATATTAGGTAAAGTTTTTTGTTAACATGAAACATTTAAAAAATTTTAACATTTTAAAATTGAGATTTTTCTTAAGTTAATATAATCTATAATGACTAGAGTGTACAATAACAATTTAATTCACTTGAGTAATATTCAGTAAACACTATTTGTTGCAATAATATAACAAGTATAACAAACAATAATAAAACAAGTAACAAGTAATATATGCAAGTTATATATAATGTATGATATAAAACTGTAATATATCATTATTTTGCAATATTATAACAGTAATGTAACAAAATATTATTGCAATATAATTGTATGTTATATGTGTGTATTTCTACGCTTGCTGCTACACGGTAAAATCAGACTTACATAATTATCTAAATTTTTATCAAATGGATATAACGAAACACAGATACTAATATATTACTTAAAATATATCTTTTTTTATCAGATTAATTTCGAATATAATACCAACAAAAATTTGAAATATTAAACAAATTTACATGAAATATTAAACAGATTATTTACAATTATTTAAAATTATTATTATATACTGTATATTAAGTAAAAAAAAATCTAAAAGAAAATCTAAAAAAAAATTTCTATATAATAAAATTCTGAATTTTATAAATTAAATATAAATAATTTATTTTATTTATTTATCAATATTATCAATATTCTGTATGATCAATATTTTATATGATACCTTTATACCAAATTTTTATATGATACCTTTTATATCAATTTTATATGATACCTTTCATACCAATTTTTTATATAGAATATAACTATGATATAACAATAATATAACATACATATTACATTTATAAGGAAATTATACATTTATAGGAAATTATACAATTAATAAGTAACATGCCGGTAGTATTCATGTATATTATTTGTAATATTCCGTTTGCATTGTTTTTATATAATATTAATATAATAGTGTTTACTGATATATGTTTTGTATGTGACTAGATATAATATTTTCGTTATTTTAATTGTGCAGATTTTATATTTTTCTCAGATTGCAGATTTCTTAGCTTGTTTCATATTGCTGACAAAAATATGTATGTATAGTTTAACTTGATGTAATTTTATTTAGATATGTTGAAGATGAAATGATCGTGATTGAGCGATGGTATCCACGAAGAAATTCCTATGTATTTGTCGCAAATTTTGGTAACGAGACGCGCATGAAGGACTTATCATTTCTCTATTATGGTGGCCATGTTGTGGTAGGACCAGCTTACAGACTAAGTCGAGATGTGTACTTTAAAGAACTTATTGTCCCACCTGGAGAAGCATTTGTTATAAAATTGGATAAATGAGAAAATGTGTTTTAATTAAGAAATACTGTTTACTAATGTGTTAGATTAAATTTTATTTTATTATGTAAAATGATTATTATGTATTGTATATTATTAAAAAAAAGAATACTTATCCTTTGTTACAATGAAATTTTCTACAAAAATTTCTATAAATTTTTTTTCTACAAGAGATTTCAAGATAAATTAATTATATATTATATTATAATTGAAAGAGTGAAGTATGAATCATTATTTAGAGAAATAAAAATAACAGGATGTTTTATTTTATTGTTTTTATTATTTTCTTAAAAGAACTGTCCCGAATTGAATGAATACTGATGATTTATATATTTATATGTATAGAGGGTATACTGAAAACATTAAGAAAACAAACATGTTAGCTCCTAAACTTGTCTGCATCTGCATGTAGAATGTATGGGGGTTAGAAAATCAGATTCAGTAAAAAATCGGATCAGCGGAGATGTCAAACGTAATAAATATATATGTTATACACTGATAGCGTTATGGGTTTGGATATCGAGTGTATCCTAAATACCATATTATCATTGCAATGAACACAGCATCCTACAGTACGGGCGCTATTTTTGCAGTAATGCGTTCGAATTGAATCCTATCCTTCGCCGTTTTTTTCTGCTATTACATAGACGTAATACTTTGCTCTATTAGTATGTCGGTTTGTATTCTATCTTTTTCTGAATTTATCTTTTCTTCGTGTTTTGCACACAAGATCTTGGTCAGAGTATGTATACTTTGAACCCTGTTATAACTCCACAAACAATGTAGGTATTCAAGACCTTGATATTATTATTGTAATAACACCCCTAACACAAGTATATAAGTCATATCAGTTTGCTCAGGACCCAAATTCCATAAACATCGGAACATTCTTTGTGCAACTAAATTTTGTTTTAAAAATTTCTACAATTTTCATCTTTTAAAAAAATTCGTAATTGTTTTAATAGACACAGTTTGGATGATTTTTATTTTAATATTGATTTTGATTCCGAAAATTGTATTAAATAATCGGAACAATCACTTTGAATTGATATAAAATAGACATCATTTCACGCAAAAAATTATAAATCCATATAAAACTTCATTATTATAAACTTCGTCTTGTAGAGTTAAAATACTGAACAATGTGTAAAAATTATTTCTATATTTTATAATTTTTAAAAGACGTAATCTTTGAATACGACCAGGATTATTTACTTTCATAGAAATCAAGATTTATGTTAAAATTCAGAATAAAGATCATCTAATAATAACAGTTGTATTTATTAAAAAAAAGAATAATTATCAAAATTCAATTTTTTATAAAAATACTAAAATTAAAAAATTAAGAAGCAATTAAAAAAATAGTAACCAATTAAATCACTATGATTAAGTCTATGTAATATATGTTAACATCTTAACAATGTTATGAATTTGATTATTATCAATATTTATATCAAAATATTAGACCTTAATAATAGATTTTTATGTATATTATCTACATTATGCGAATAAAAACGACTTGATTGTGTCTACATTGAAATTTTATAGATATATCTTAATATCAACTTAAGTAACAAAATGTCATTTAAATTTTTAAATCTTGAGTTTATAAATTATATATAATTTATTTTAGTATTTGTCTAATTACGTCTAATGATTCAATTATAAATATTATATGTAATTATAATGTAATGATAATTTTGTCATATGACATGTTACATTTACGAATGAAAATTATAATTAGTCAGTACCCAGAAAACATTTTGCGCGTAAATATCTAGCAAGTCGCGCACAAATATGGTTCATATCGCGCAAGCAAAACCCTATCCCAGTGCGTCGTCATAGCGGTAGTAAAACGCTAGCACATTTTGCGCGTGAACTCAATAAGCGATATGTACGCAAAACGAGCAAATATGGTATCCATTTGCATGTGATTCGCTGGTGTACATGAGCTTAACCAACTTGCGGGCAAAACTCACGCAAACCGCGTACACAGTTTATATACATAAGACGCGCAAACTTTGCGCGCAAGGAATGTTATCTGGGTAGTTTACTAGTTAGTGCAATATTATCTATAATATTCATTTGTATTGTATTTATATGATGATAACGTTAACGTTAACGTTATATAAATATCGATATTTATTGAATTATATAAATCAAAAATAATAATAGAGTAAGAGGCTGTAGACGTGGTGTAAGATATTAGAACGTAATAAATTCAAAAACAGAAAATTATATATTCATTAAATTAAATTAGATGGAGATAAGTATATAAATTGTCTCAACATTAGTTCGAATACAATATAACATACGTTGTATGTTTCGATCAATTTTTGATCATTTTCAATGTCTCAACGGTTGTATCGAAAGGATGATAACAAAATATATTATAAAGAAATATAACAAGGCTATTCCACTTATTGAATAGTGCTTGCTCTTGTTATATTTTTTTATAATATGTTTTGTTATATTTATATACAGGGTATTAGAAAAGTCTGGAAACGGTCAAATATTTTGAAAACAAAACATTTCTGAGAAAAATGTTTCGAACCAAAGTTGTATGGCTTGAAGGAGACCATCAGATAGTGGCAATGATTTGATCTTGGAGAGTTATTCGAAAGTCACGTGAAGGTTACCGTCAATTTCTTAGACAGAACTCTATTTTTTATTACATATTCGTATAGCTTATCTCGAGAGCTTTCCAAAACACTATAATAAAGTATTTCTCCATTAAGTACTTTTCGAGTTATGAGGCTTGAAATAATTTCTTTTATTTTTATTAATTTTACATAAACCGTAAAATATCTTGTAAAATATTCATTTTTCGATTATCTTACCTTAATACTTTTATGTACAAATAATGAGAGGAATCAATTGGTGTAAAGAAAACGCATAATTGTTTTAAAAAAATGTAATTGTTAATTGCAAATTACATTTTTCATATCGAGCATACGAGGTCTGTAAATAAAGTAATGAGACTTTTTCGAGATGAACTTTTATTTATAATTTAACTATAATTTAACTTTGTCTTCTTCAAAATAGTTCCCTTGGGAAGCCACGCAGCGCCTGACCTTAGTAGCAGAATGACGTCAAATGACGTCTTAATAACGTCTTAATGACGTCTTAATAGACGTCTTTAAGACGTCTTTAGACGTCATCTTGCTACCTGGGGAGACGTTGTTCCCAGTCTTCATAACAGTACTGGAACTCAGAAACCCGAATGGCCTTCAGCTAGTCGGTTACCGCTTTTATGGTTTCGGTCGTATCAAAGTGATGTTCTTTGAGATGAGTTTTCAATCTCGGGAAGAGAAAAAAGTCACAGGGATTCAGGTCAGGCGAATACGGGGGCTGAGGAACGACAGAAATGTTTTTTTGTACCAAAAACTCTGTAATCGAAAGCACAGAAAAACATTTCTGTCGTCCCCCAGCCCCCGTATTCGCTTAACCTGAGTCCCTGTGACTTCTTTCTCTTCCCGAAATTGAAAACTCATCTTAAAGGACATCACTTCCCAGTAAGAAATGTTGATCGAATCGACATCAATTCGACATCAATTCTGTTGAGGTTTTAATATCTTTATCAATTTTTATTTAAGAATATTACAATAAAAAATGATTCCATTGATATCGCGCAATTCGCCTTATGCAGAGCTCGCGATCATGTCCCTTTCGGAGCGCATACATTCAAGGAAGGAAAATAAAATGCGGTTTGGCAAATTGCCACAATATTCGAAAGCAAAAAAATATCTCTTAAGTTGATGCTACAATAAACAAATCAAATATTATCTTATAATTAACCGATATCTAGAGATACTTAGCTCTCTCGCACACTCGCTCGTTCATCACGCAGAACCACGTCCGCACGTACACACGGTCCACAACAGAGAGAGTGATAAGCTGACGATTACCCTTCAATAAACCTCAAACTTATCACTGCCAAGTGTCTGATTTCTTGTATTTTAATTCGCACGAATTACGAACGAACGATACCTGTGTGACACATCCTACTTTCTATATTATACTTGCACACAAATTACATTTATTAATGTAGGGCGGTGATTATTACGTGCGAAATAATATAGTCACCACATGAACTATGTTAATAGAATATATATTTGACACATGAACAATTCAATGCATTAAGAAATAAAACAGTTTTTATATCTCGCCTTTATAACGCGAATAGAAGGTTTTTTTCTTTTTACAAAAAGAACAACGTGTGTGACGAATATTACGCACACAGTAGAACAACAACAAACTCTATCTCGTACTTATAGCGATTTCGGCTGGTCTGCACTGGTGTGCCACCTGTGTAGAGTTGGTGCAAGTGTGTGCAGTGCGTACACCCATGCAGTGTTGCACTCGATATTTGGACTACCACCACGGCAGTGTATATCTTTTTAGCCGAACACAAAGAGTCATGAGACGCGAATCGGCATACAACATTTATGATACAAGTGAAATTAAAATTGCAAAATTTATCGCGATGGCTTCATCTTCGTCTTCAACACAAATAAATCACTCATCATGATAGTTCACCCACCGACGAGATAAGGCTGACAGTCTTTATAATATTATAATATCTTCTCGTCGGTAATTTCACCTAAATTACCATCAATGTTATCGACAATTACCGATTACACCAACTGGCTCCAACAAATTTGTGAGAGCCACTTTGTGTACACCCAACATGCACCTGTGCGGTGTACTGAGTCCAGACGAATACGCAGCTCCAGTGAGGGACTGCACCATTCGACCAGCCGAACATACAACACCCGAAATGTGCAGTTGGTGCAGACCAGCCGAAATCGCTATTAGTTAATGGTTAACGGTTAAGGATGCGACTAATCGATAAGTTACCGTCTGTTTTATCGACCGTAGAAATATGATGCTCATGTGACGTCCCGACCAATAAACTTTCTCTTTTTACCATATAAACAGCTTCCTTCTTTACCCTGTTGGAATTTGTTCAGTTCTATCTAATCACGTAAGAGCAAGATTGAAGGAGATATTATTTTCTTTTTGTATTAACGCTATAATTGCGTTTATCTTTAATTAATCTTACTCATATTCTAATTACTTAGTTACTTTTAATAACTATTTTAACCAAATTCATTAGAGTTATAGTATTAAAATTATGAAGATATAAAAGAATTATAAATTCGTCTACGAATAATGCATTGTACAAAGGAGCGATTTTAAAACGCCTTCGGGATTCAGCTGGCGTTTATCTATCATGGAATGTAAATCATAATCACAGATAACGACTATTACTGGTAACTCATTCCTCATTATGACATCATTTGTAAAATTTTGGTTAATTATTCCACTTAAGTAATATCAGGTCTAGGTAATAAGAACAAAACATTCAAAATTGTACATAGCCAGCATTGGAAGAAGGAAGTAAATCTGTAATAAATTGTAAGGTTCATCCATGTAATTCTCACACGGCGACTCGCTCTCGCTAATCAGCTAAACATAACATCTTCATACCAAGAAGGCAGATCGATATTCGAATGGACAAAGGAGATGATGAAATTCGCCTTATCCAAGTCCTTACTGACTCGTACCAAGGAGGACCAGCGTCTACCGGCCATTGTCACGGAGCGCCAGTAGATTTTTCTCCGGCCTACAGTTAGGACGAACTCTGATTTTCGCTGATTGTTCACTGCATTATTCTCTGACTTGATTGTATCTACCTATATACTTATATTTTATGCAATATACGTAGAGTTAATTGGAAAGTTCTACGAGATTTTATTGAGAACCACTCTCTACCGCTGAGTTTTAAAACCTGTCATCCCTTGGAAAATTCACGCTACTGGGTCTTTGAATTTCAAGCGCTACTTCCGACAAATTTAGAAGGAAGGAAGAATCTCAAATTTTCTCCCAGTAAGAAGGGAGTAGTTATAATTTTGGTGAGTTAAAATTTATTTTTATTTTATTCCTTTCTTTAATTATATTATAATAGAAATTAATTTTATCAATTAGATTTCTACCGAGTTATTAATTACCAATACGTCTTTGTCAATATTATCTTATTTGATATAATTATTCACTTATTTAAGATCAATTATTATTGCTTAATTATTATTAATTATTAATACGTATTATGAAAGAATTAGTAATCTATGTATTGATCTTGGTTATTTTAATTTTACTTATTTTGGTAGCATTACTTCATGATCAATTGCGTTCTCTAAAATAATTTAATCATCTAGTTATATCATATTATCTTATTTTAACTTTTCATTCTATTTACTCTCATTTAAAATACAATTTAAATTTGACAATAGATCACAATCTCCCTCATCCCCAGTAAACCCGGTGAATGCAGGGTGACTGAAAACACGGGAGACATTTGAATAAAATAATTATGTTAACCACCTCGGTATTGTAGTTCTCTATTATTTAGTAACCGGGACGTAACACTCAACACCCTCTCTTAATTTTTACCTGTCACATATAGATATGCTTCTTAAAAAAAATTTATTCTATTACAGTTTTTTTAACTTTCATTATATATTATTTAAGCAATAACGTCTTTTCTTATTTACTTAACTAAAGTGATCTTGTGAGTATTAAATTTAGTTTTTCCAAGCGGTTTGGTAAATAGATCCGCAAGCTGTTTGTCAATTTGACAATATTCAATGTTGATTGTACCTTTTCTTAATTCCTCATGAATAAAATGATATTTTACATCAATGTGTTTTGAGCGTCTATTAGTAACACCATTTTTAATCAGTTTAATAGCACTTTGATTGTCTATCTTTAATTTTACACCCGCAGTTTCGTTCAACACTTCTTCAATTAGAGTCTTTGTATGCAGTATTTCTTTACAGCACTCTGCCGCAGCAATGTATTCCGCTTTGGTGCTAGATGTTGCTACTATGAGTTGTCTTCTTGAACACCATGCAATTGGTCCGCCACAATAAAGTATTACGTATCCCGTAGTGCTTTTTCTCGTATCTATGTCTCCGGCATAATCAGAATCATAATAAGCTATCACTTCCGTTTCGTTGTGTATGTTATCAAAGCTTATCCCTTGATCTTTTGTACCATTGAGATATCTAAACATTTGTTTTATGTTCTTCCGTTACATGTTGTTTTGTATAGCTGTTCAGGTATCTGCTTCCGTGTCCTACAGCTTGTGCCAGATCCGGGCGTGTTTTCGTTGTTAGATATAGTAAACCTTCAATTGCTTCTCTGTATTTGTAGTTTGTCTTTTCTAGATCTTCTGTTTCTTCGTTGTATTTTATCGATGGAGTATCTACCGACTTTGATTCATCCATCTGAAATCTATTCAGCAATCTTTTCGAGAAATTTTTCTGTGTTAGTTTTAAATTTCCTGGAGATCGATTAATTTCATATGCCCAAAAAATTCTTCGGGTTTTTAGTGATTGTTGTTTCAAATTCATTCTCAAGCTTTTCAATAAACTGATTGCATTTTTGTGAATCTTTGTACAACAGTACTCCGTCATCCACATAGAATCCTAGAATAAGTGTTCTATCTTCGTTTACATAGATGCACTGTTCCGACTTTATTGATTTAAGACCTTCTTGCTCAAGAAAGTCGAGAATTTCCGATTCCATTTTAACGGTGCTTGTTTTAGTCCGTCTAAGGCTCTCTGTAGTTTACATATTTTATCACCATAATCATAACCTTCTGGTGGATACATGTAAACGTCTTCATCCAAATTTCCGTATAGAAAGGCCGTTTTTATGTCGAATGTAATCAACGAGTAGTTCTTCTTCACAGCCAAAGCGAATAGTATTCTCAGAGATGCGTTATTGACCACAGGACTAAATGTTTCTTCGTAGTCTATTCCTTGAACTTGTTGGAATCCTCTGACTACTAATCTTGCTTTCTTTTTTCCGTTGTCTTTCGTTTTAAAAATCCATTTGCTGCTTAATATTTTTTTTTCCTTCTGCTTCGAAATTATCGACGACTTTCCATGTGTTATTCTTTTCCAAAGAATTCTTCTTTATTTTTATTGCTTCTTTCCATTCCTTTTTTTCCGCACCCGTGATGGCTTCTTGGTAGGTTAGAAAAACATAAACGTTATATTTTTGTGGAAATTTTGTTGTTCGAGCCGATCTTCGCAATTGTTGTATTTGTTCTATGTCATTCTCTTCCTCTGCATCTTCGTATTTTTCTGATTGTTCTTCTTCCTTTTGATCGTTTTCTATTTCTTCTTCATTTTCATTTCTCAAGCTCTTCTTGTATGTTTTCCTCTTCTTCATTTTGATCTTCTTGCATGTCTTCTTCGTTGTCAAGTCCAACAAATATATTTTTATTATCTCTTTTTTTTACGATTTCAGGCTTTTCTTCAAATTTAATATCTCTTGAGACGACTATTTTCCTTCTTTCAGCGTCCCAGAGTCTATAACCTTTAGGATTATATCCCACGAAGATAAGTTTTCTGCTTCTATTATCCAGTTTTCTTAGTGATCCTAGAATTTTAATATGTGCCGCACAGCCAAATATTTTTAGTGAATTCAGATCAGGTTTCTTCTCGTTCCACATTTCATAAGGAGTTACTTTAAGCAGTTTAGTGGGACTTCTATTAACAAATACGCGGCTGTGTATGCCGCTTCTCCCCACATTTCTTTCTTCAGGCTTGATTCAGTTAACAGTGCTCTGGTTTTTTCCAGTAAGGTACGATTAAGTCTTTCTGCTTTCCCGTTCAATTGCGGAGTGTAGGGTATAGTAAAGTCCATTTGTATGCCATTTTCTTTACATCAATTTTGTAGATTCTTGTTTGCATACTCGCGACCGTTGTCACATCTTAATCTTGTCAGTTTCGTGTTCCACTGAGCTGCAGCATATTTTACATATTCTTTAATTGTATCCGCGACTTCATACTTGTTTTGCAGTAAGTAGATTACAGTAAAGTGTGTATAATCGTCTAACATTGTTAAAATGTATCTTTTGTCATTCCACGTTTGAGTTTCCACAGGACCGCAGACGTTAGAGTGTACTAATTCTAGGGGTCGTTTTGTTTTTGTTTCAGATTTTTCGAATGGCACTCTTGTTTGTTTAGCTTTCAGACAAATTTCACATGTTGCTTCCACTTCTTTCAGATCTTTCGCAATGAAATCCATGCCTTTTGAAATCTCTTTTAAAATCTTCATTCCATTGAAGCTCAAGTGACCTAGTTTTTTATGCCAGATTTTTATTGAATCCAATCTGTATGCTGCATACGATTTCTCTTCTGATTCTCGTTTGTTTGTGTAAAGCTCTATCTCGTACAGTCCGTTTTCCTTCTTGCTTCCGCAGAGAATTTGCTCTCTATCCTTTTTAATTATTACCTCTTTTCCAGTGAATATCACTTCTCCTTCATGATCCGTGATAGCAGAAACTGATATCAGATTTGAATTCAGGTCTGGAATGTGCATTACGTTTTTCAGTACGCAATTCTCCGATTATAATGTACCTGTTCCTTTGGACAACATTGATTCATTTGCTTTTGCTACGCCGACTTTGGATCGTTCTTGTTTAAAATTTTCCAGATGTTCCAGCTTATTAGTCATATGAGATGTCATGCCTGAGTCCACTATCCATGATGATGTATTTTCTTGTTTGTGCACAAGAAACGACACCTTGTCAGTTTGCTGATCCTTTTTCTTAGTCTCCTTATCTCGAAAGAAACAATCCTTCTCTAAGTGATTATTTTTCTTGCATATCTTGCAATATAGCTGCTTCTCCTTTGAATCAGTTCATTATTCGATACTGTCTTCTTACATGCTTTAGCCAGATGACTCGTCGAATTGCACTTAAAGCATCTTTTCTTAGTGACTTTGAATACTACAGCGTTTTCTTTTTCCTCTTGTTCAGAGTTCCTCGCTTCTTCCGCAAGTATTCTTGATGTCAAGTTTTCCAGAGTTTTGTCCGTTGAGGCGGTTGATTCCTATGCTGTGACGAATCCTTTAAAAGAGTCTGATAGTGTAACCAGAATTTTAGAGATTAACATCGGATCTGCTATGTCTGCATTCAAGGCTTTTAGGTTACTTGCTATGTTGACTAGTTTACTAATGTGTGTTGTCACATCGCAGCTTTTGTCCATAGTGTAGCTAAAAAATTCTTGCATTAGTGCACACTTTCGTTGTTCGCTATCTCTCTCGTATATTGCACATAATTTTGCCCACATGGATTGTGCCGTTTTACAATTTAATACGTGAGTCATGGGTTTCTTACCGAGAGATAATACGATTACCTTTTGTGCATTTGCGTCCTTTTTGAGCCAAGCTGCGTCTTGTACCGCAGAAACTTCCGTAGCTACTTCATATAGATCGTTCGCTTTCAGCAGAATTGTTATTTCAAATTTCCACAGTTGAAAGTTTTCCACTCCGTTCAGCTTTTCAACTTGATTTATCTCTTCCACTGATATTTTAGCCATTTTTTTTATTTTCCTTTCTTTTTTTTTTAACACTTTTTAGTATTTTATTGTTTTCGACTATATTTTTCTTTCTGGGTCCATAACCTGTAGGGCGGTGGTTATTTCGTGCGAAATAATATAGTCACCACATGAACTATGTTAATAGAATATATATTTGACACATGAACAATTCAATGCATTAAGAAAAAAAACAGTTTTTATGTCTCGTGCCTTTATAACGCGAACAGGTTTTCTTCTTTTTACAAAAAGAACAACGTGTGACGAATATTATGCACACAGTAGAACAACAACAAACTCTATCTCGTACTTAGTTAATGGTTAACGGTTAAGGATGTGACTAATCGATAAGTTACCGTCTGTTTTATCGACCGTAGAAATATGATGCTCAACAATTAACACTTTCTCTTAATTTTGTGCAAGTTGACTCATTAATTTTTTCTTACAATTATTAAATTTCTCCACGTTCAATGGTTTAGTGAAAATATCAGCTACTTGATTATTAGTTGGACAATATTTAAGCTTTATCACATTAGTTTTGACTAAGTCATTGTTATAGTCCGAAAGACTATAACTTATTATTTCATTATAACAGAATATATAATAGAACATTCGTGAACCGCGCAAAACCGCCATCTCAGCAAACCACGCGCGAGAACGCTCGCCGGAAACACGAAAGACGCTAACGAAGGGATTCGACTTTGAACCTCCTTCGCTTGCATTTGGACTTTGGACGCCACGAACCCCCATGACCATACATGGTCATGTCGCTAGGCGATCCCCTCCAAAACACCCCCGAAACCGAGGAAATAAAAGCCGTCCACCGCGAATCCGCGGCAGACAGTCGTTAATAATAAATCAATCATTAAATAGTGCGAAACCGAGAGCTAACTGCTATACTGTGCGACGATTCACTCAAAAAATTGTTAAACGCTCTAAATCTAAAAACGAAGCGATAGAAAAGGACGACAATAAGGAAAGAAGACTTGTAAAGAAACCAACTAAAAATAAGATATGAGAATCTATTTGTATAAGAAAAATTTTATAATAAAAAACCGTCGTTAACTAATCCAAGGGTTCGATTCGATTCTCCCGGCTATCCCACACCCCGTGCCGTACCGGGCACAACATCATGTACAAATCTATATTTCACATCAATATGCATGGAACGTCTGTTTATGACTCCGTTTGTCATTAGAGTCATCGCACTTTAATTGTCTATATTTAACTCTACGGAAATTTTTTCTGTTGTGAGTTTCTCTATCAATGTTTCAGTACAGAAGTTTTCGGTACAGAAGTTCTTTACAGCATTCTGTTGCTGCCACGTACTCTGCTTCTGTACTGGACAATGCAATAATTGACTATCTTCTAGAGCACCAGCTTATGGGGCCACCGGCATAAAATATAACGTATCTTGTTGTACTGCGTCTCATCTCTTGATCGCCAGCATAATCCGAATCACAATATGCTTCAAGTAGATTTGTTTTTTTGTTATTTTTTTGTTGTAGAAGGTGATTCCTTGTTCTATATGGTCTTTTAAATATTTCATAATTTGTTTTATATCATTTATGTTTTCCTGTAAATAATCCTCCACGTGTCTGCTGCAATAATTTACACCATATGTAATATCCGGTCTTGTTTTTGTTGACAGGTAGAGCAAACTTCCTATAGTTTCTCTGTACGGGTAATTTTTACTTTTAGGTTGAGTTTTATTTCCGTTTTGTTTAAGCAATGGTATTTTTACAGATTTTGCATTACTCATCTCATATTGTTGCAAAATTTTATTTATATAATCTGTTTTTATCAGGAGTTATTTCAGGAGTTTTATTTGTTCTGTTTTTATTATCTGGAATTCCACGAAGGCTTTCGGTTTATTCATTACTGTCATTTTAAATTCGGACGTGAGTTCTTTAATTACTTGCTTCATCTCTTGCAGGTTTCTTCCCATTAGGATATCGTCATCCACATATATGCCCAATATCGCTGTTGTTTTTCGTAAACAGACATTGTTCACTCTCGAGAGACTCAAATCCTTTTCTGTTGAGAAATGTCGTAAATCAAACATTCCATTTAAGAGGAGCCTGTTTTATCCATAAAGTGTCTTTTTTAGTTTGATAACTTTATCTTTATAATTATATCCATCCGGAGGATACATATGCACATTTTCATCCAGAATTCCGTATAAGAATGCGGTTTTAATATCAAACGTTATAATTTTATAATTCTTCATGGCAGCTACTGCAAAGAGACTTCTAAGAGCGCTCGTACTTATTACAGGACTGAAGGTTTCTGTATAATCTATTCCGTATTTTTGCTCATATCCTTTTACCACCAGCCTTGTTTTATGGGTTCCATCTTGTTTCATCTTAAATATCCATTTTCCTTGCAGTGGTTTATGCGACTTCAATTTTTTTATATCTTTGATGTGCCAAGTGTTATTTTCTTTGAGTGAATTCTTCTCTTCATTTATTGCATCCATCTGTATTTATCAGGTCTTGTTATCGCTTCTTTATATGTTAAAAGCACATAGTCGCCGTATTTATTTGGACATTTCGTTGCTCTCTTGGATCTTCTTAAATTTTCTCTCGAGTTCCTTTCTATGTGTTGTTCCTGTGCATCACTGTCTTCGTCTTCATCCTGTTGTGGATCTAAAAACTCTTCATTTTCTTCTTCTTCTTCTTTTTGTCCTTCTGAATTGTTATTCTTGTTCCTGTTCTTCATCTTCGTTTAGTAACGTCAATCCAACTCGTCGTAATTCTGTTTTACTTGTACGTGTTGTATTTATTTTTTCAAATGTAACGTCTTTGGTGATGACTATTTTTCTTTTTTGAAGATCCCACAATTTATATCCTACTGGTGCATAGCCGACGAACGTGAGCTCCCTGCTTCTTTCATTTAGTTTCTTCTGTGGACCCAGCACTTTTGCATACACTTTACAACCAAACGCTTGCAGTGATTTTATATTCGGCTTTCTTTTCCCCCGCATTTCATATGGAGTTTTTTGCAGAGATTCTGTGGGAGATCTGTTGAGCAGATATATTGAGGTGTAAAGTGCTTCACCCCATATTTCTTTGTGCATTCTTGAATCAAATAAAAGTGCTCTTACTTTCTATGTCAAAGTCCTGTTTAGTCTTTCTGCTCTTCCATTGAGCTGTGGTGTGTAAGGCACGCTGGTGTCCAACACTATACCTTTATTTTTACACCATTTTATGACTTTTTCATTTACGTATTCTTTACTGTTGTCTCATCTTAATTTTTAATTTAGACACTCTTAAATTCCAATGAGCTTCTACCATTTCGACAAACTCTCTTATTTTCTCCAAAACCTCATCTTTGGTTTTCAGCAAAAATGCAATTGCAAAATGTGTATAATCATCCAGAAAAGTAAAAAAATATCTCTTTTTATCCCAAATCAAAAGGTCTATTGGACCACACAAATCCGTATGTATTATTTGCAGCGGTCTCGTAGCTCGATTCGTTTGTTCACCAAATTTAATTCTAGCTTGTTTCGCCTTTTGACAAACTGTGCAAATTGATTCCTCTTGCTTCAAGTCTTCCGATGTTAAATTTAATTCCTTCACATAATTTGGCAGTCTCTTCATATTTCCATAACTCAGATGACCAAGTTTCCTATGCCAGGTTCAGGCATCAGCTTTCAGATCCTCCGTCAGGTAAGAATTCTTCTCCATTTCAGTTTTTAATTTCACCTAAAATAATCCGTTAGATAGTTTCTTTTCTTTCAAGACAGTTTTATTTTCACAGCTTATTATTACTTCATTCTTTGAAAAAAGTACTTCTCCACCATTATTTGTTATCGCGTTTACCGACAACAAATTCGTGCTGAGCTCAGGAACATATAGCACCTTTTCCAGTCTGCATTTATCGAATTCTTTCAGATTCCTTTGCTTCCATTGATTCGGCTTAGCGACTCCAATTATCGAATTCATCTTCTTGTACTGTCGTAGCCAAGTTTTATTTTTTGTCATATTCGATGTACATTTAGAGTCCACGATCCATGTATCATTGGCAGTCATCTCAGCTGTCAAAAATGCTACTCTATTTTCGTATTCGTTATTTTTATTTTTATTTCTAAAAAAGCAATTCTTATCACTATGGTTAATTTTCTTGCAAATGCTGTATCTTTATTCGCCTGATTCTTGTTTTCCTCCACACGACTTTGCAACATGTCCCATTTTATTACATTTGAAGCAACGTACCTGTCGTTTTTCGCTTCCTTTAGATGCTCTAGTGCAGTTCCTTGCAAAGTGTCCAGATTTGTTACATTTGTAACATTTTTTATCCGCAGCTTTGAACGTCACCGCCTTCTCCTCCAGTTCCTTGGACTTATTTCTCGTTTCTTCAGCAATTAATCTGGCTGTCAGGTTCTCCAATGTTTTTTTTCTCTGTTCCCTTTACTCCCAAGCACTTGCAAAATATCTATATTCTTCAGGTAGAGTAGCTAATATTTTCGCAATCATCATTTTATCATCTATTTTTGTATCTAGTGCATTCAATCTATAAGCTAAATTTTTTAATCTACTGATATATGTCGCAATATCTGTATTTTTATCATATGTAGTACTGTAAAATGTCTGAAGTAAACTACATCTTTGCTGTTCCGAGTCTCTTTCATATATATTACATATTTTTATCCACATTTCGTACGCGGTTTTACAATCTAACATATGCAACAACGATTTTTTATCTAATGTCGTAATTATCAATTTTTGTGCATTTGCATCTTTCTTTTTCCATTGTGGAGTTCGTTCTAGTTTTCGAACATTTTGCAGTACTACTTCATTCAACTCATGTGCTGCAAGCAATATATTAATTTGAAATTTCCAAATTTGAAAATTTTCGGAGTCTGTTAACTTTTCTACATTTAAGATATCTTCCGCGAGCGACTTTGCCATTGTTTAATTTTATTTTTTTAATGAATATTATTATTACGATTATTAATTTTATTACTATTATCTATATTATTATTACTAAATTTTGATTTT